CGCCCCCAACCAGGGACCTGGCCGGCAAACCAGGCAGCCAGGCACGTGCGAATGAACCTGCGACCTTTTGCTTTGAGGGGTGATGCTCCAGCCACTGAGCCACACTGGCCAGGGTGAGAAAGGACACTTTAAGGGACCCTGGTGAGGAAGAGCCAAAGGCGGGCTCACCGGGTGAAACAGAGCTGGGAACAGGGCTGCCACCTGCTGCTGGCACCTGTGGCTCACAGGGGGCTGAGGACCCAGGGAGGTGGGCGAAGGGGTGCAGAGCTGGCTTGCTGCTGGGGAGTGCATCCCAGAGGGGGGCTGCCCCCTTCCCGGGGTCAGCAGCACCGCTGGAATCATCACGGAGCAGCGCTGCAGAGCGCTGTTGCCGCGCCCCTTGCTTCCCGCGGGCGTCGCCCACCACTGCTGGTCTGGGGGACCCGGGAGAGGGATAGAACCGACACACGGGCCACACCAACCTCCGCCAGCCTCCGACTCACAGTGAACCTGTCTGCAAAGCAGGTTCCCAAAAGGGGAAGCAGTCTAACGCCAAGAAAAACAATCAGCACATTTACCAATCAAAGCATGAATTCACTGCAGATAGAAATGAAGTTCTTGGAACAATGTGGCAGAAACTTAAGTAGGTTAAAAAGGGTGAAAGATAAAAATAAAGAGATAAGTTTCAAACTATTACAGAACAAAAACTGCACATAGACGCACGGTGGCCACCTTGGCCGTCAGACAAGGAAAGGGCATCCGCGCCCCCTCTGCAGCTCCAGGTGGGCAGGGCCCTGGGCCCTTCCTGCCTGACCCGATCTGTGCCTGCCGAGGGCTCCCTCCGTGGCTCCGAGCTGCCCGCGGCTGCTCCCAGCTGAGGTCGGTTTCTGCCTCCTGCCCCACCTCTTACCACGGCTCTGCTCATCTGCACCCAACCTCTCAGTCACAACCCCACCCCGCCGGCCAGCGCCCCCCACCCTGTGAACAGTTCCACGCGTGCATCGACTTCCTGCCCATCTTCTCACTCAAATCACAATGCTGCACGGCTGCCATTCCGGGCGGCTTTCTCCTGGACTGGTGCCACCATTTCCTGTGTCGCAAGCCTTCTTCTTTCTTAAGTGAGTCTTCCGTTATAATATTGATTAATGGATGGTAAATTTCCTGAATTCTTGAATGTTTAAAAATATCATTCTTTGTTCCCATAACCAGAAGAGCAGCTCGCTAGATACAGAATTCTAGATGGAAATTTTTTTTCCCCTAGGGAAATAATAACCCAACAGCATTGAGCACCCTGCCACCCAAATTGTGGTCTCTAAATATTATTTCTCAATAAAGGAATCAGGGCTCCTTGGAGAACTGGCTAGAGGTTTGGGGTAGGAAGTTTTCAAGGTAAGCCTGAGATATCTTGTCATACCAGAAAGTCTGAAGTGGGTGGGGATATTTTATACTCATAGATGCAGAAATAATTAGCAAAGGCCATGAGTGTTTTAAATACCGTAACCTATCTACATGTTAAAAAGAAAGGGAGACATGCAAGCCATTCACCTCTCTGGGAAATTAACAGAGACTAAAGCAATCGTTGATGTCCTGCATTGTCCATGGACCAACAGCCCTTCCACGCTGTGCTGGAGGACGCGCTGCTGGGCTGGCGTTAGCCTTTCCTGGTGGCACTGTGATTGTATCCCAGAATGTAAATATGCCCTTTGACCCAGCAATGTAAATGGATGTATTAAAAATCTGTGTAACTGCGCAAGATACATGTACAGGAATGCACATTGCAACATTGTTTGTAAGAGCGAGAAGTTGGAAACAACCAAACCCCCAGGGACAGAGCAGTGACGTAAATGACGGTGCAGGCACAGAACGAAATGCGGGGACGGTGCTGTCAAAGTCAGCGAGGCGGCTCTGCGGGCAGGAAAGAGTGTCATTATGTGTTAAATGACAGGAGCCATTGCAGGGGAATACCCTTCGTTTTGAAACATTTCCACACACACAGAAGAAATGGGCTCCCACGTGGCCTGCAGAAACCGTGATCCCCGATGGCCGTTTGCAGTGTGACTCATCGGGAGATGCGGCGCGTACCGCTGGGGTTCCTACAATCAGCATGCATTTTGCAATCAGGGGAGAAAAAAAAACTAAATAATGAACAAGGATCATAAAGCTTTATTTAATAAATATAACCAAAAATTTCAAAATACTTTATTCCATATGTAGCCAATTAGAGGCAGGAGAAAAGAGTTAGAAGGAAATGTTTGGAGAGATGCAGTGAGAGGGCCAGGGGCGAGGCAGGGGTTGGGAAGGACTAGACAGACACCAGGAAGGCAACACGCGCGGGCGGGGCGGGCGGAGGCCAGAGGGGCCCTCGCCGGCCCTCCCAGCGCCGCCTGTCATTGGTCACATCTCACAGGCGTCCCCCTCCTTGGCACGATGGGAGACACCAACCTGACATTTGCAGAAGGGACTGGGATTCCAGGAATTCTCAGCCCGGGAAGGCTGCCTCCTTTTTTTGTCTATGACCATCAGGATGGCGGTTTTTCCCCTCCAAGGTTAAAAAAAAAAAAGAAAAAGAAAAATTGGCTGGACAAGGCAAGCTCTAGCGAGGAACAGTTTCATTGTTCTGAAGACACTTCACAATCCTCAAGGCTATCTTTTCCAACTAGGTCTTAACACCTGTCCTCACTCAAAAGCCTGTCTTTTAAAAATATCTGGAATTTTGGGTTCTGTTCTAATGCCTCCAAATCCCATTTGCAAACAGTGTTCACTTCACAGTTCATGGTTTTCAAACCCACTGGGAAGAGATGGGAGGGTCAGGGCCTGGCTGGGGACACCGTGTGCTGAGAAGTCAAGGAATCATCTCAAAGGTAGCAGTGCAGGCGGCCTCTTGGGGGGGGGGCCTGAGCTTCGGGCTCGGTTCCAGACCTCGGGCAGGGGGCCGGGGGCAGGCGGGCCAATGCGACCCTCCAACGGCAGCGCCGACCAGTCGAGCTGATGTGCGACAGGGGAACGCGGCAGTGTGCGGGCGCCGAGGACGCCCGGAACACGGGGCGAACACGGACAGGGAGGTCGAAGCTCACCGCGGGCTGACTCCTCCTGGACTAGTTTCCTAAAAGAGAAACCCCTAAAAAAAAATGTTTGCAGAGACCAGAGGGGCCCAGGGCCTCGTAGAGCTTCCTGAGGGCAGCGAGGAGCGGCAACAACACGGAGCCCAGGCAGAAAGCTCGTTTGTCCAGTCTTTATTAAAGCTAGGGCCGCCGCCGGCAGCTCGGGGCGGGGCAGAGGCAGCCCGGCCGGGAGGGGCGCCGAAGGTAAGCGTTCGAGGGCCCGGCCTGGAGGGACAACTCGGAGCCAGGCCCCGGCCGCGCAGGGCCTGCCCACCTTGCCCGTGACCCTTCCTGAGGCTCCTGCCCCATAGGGAGAGGAGCGAGGCCAGGGGACCAGGACCCTGCCCTCCTTACCATCCCCACCCCCCACCCCCACCCCGGCGAATTCCTGCCTCCACCAGCCAGGACCCGTCCCCACCCGCCGCCTACTGCGCCTCCTACTCCCAAGGCCACGTCTACACTACAACAGAGGGAACTAGGTCTAAAAGGGATGCAGATGCTTCAAAATCTGTTCTCTGGCCCCCGCTCACACTGGCCCGGGAGGTGCTAACGGTGGGACCCCTCCCACAGGAGCCGAAGCCGCAGCCTGCTCAGTGGTTTCCAATGGCCCAGCCGGGGGGTGGGGTGCAGGCCTTGCATAGTTGGGTGCTTGGTTTGTCACTGAGCCAGGGGTTCAGCTCCACGCTCCCAGAGGCGGACCACCACTGTGCAGACTGCCCGCCCTGTGGAATGGGCATCTAGGCAGGACCACAGCTGGCCTTGGGTGTAGAATAATGACAGAAGCAGCGTTAAAGGGACCTGCAGACACCGCAGGGCCCTGATAGTGAAATGTGAGAAATGGTCCCGCCACCGAACCCGGTCACGTTCCGCGCGGGCATTAAATCTAAGTGAGTGTGGGGCTGGGCGGGGGCAGGACGGCGCGTGCCCGCCCGCTGCAGGGGGGAGGGCAGCCCAGGGGCTGAAGGCTGGGGCCCGGGCCCCCACGGATCTCTGAGTGTGCCACCTCCGACGCGAGGGGTGAGCACCGAAGGACTCCAAGGGAAGGCTGAGACTAAAATGACTGGCGCAACTAGCGCCTGGCCCGTCTGAGCGCTCAAGTGGGGTGAGGAGAGTGGGTGGCTCTGGAGAGTAAGGCTTAAAATTCCCTTGGGACCTGTCATTCCTGCGACCCGCCCTCCCCCCAGGCCACAGATTTGGTTTCTGGCTTTTTTTTTTCCCTCCACCCTATTCGTCAGGCCACTCAACAGATGGAAGTCACGTTCACAGTCCACAGTCCAAACCAGAGCTTTCCCAGTTGCGTTCCTGTCCTCAGGTCAGGGAGGACCATTGTCCTTTGGAAACCCACAGGCTGACCCTGCTTCCCCACGTGCACAGTCCTGAAAACTCCCCGGAGGTACTCAAGGGGCCAGAGGACCCCTGGGCCTCCCGCTGAGGGATGGAGGAAGCCAGCAGCAAGCCCACGGAGAAGCCCATGCGCGGCTCTCCACCACCCCACCTCCCCCTCGACACAAGGGCTTCCCTGCCCTCGCGGCAAGACCCCTGGCTGTAGGCTCACTGGCCACCTGTCCCGTGGGCCACCCAAGTCAGAACCCCAATAAAATAAATAACATGGCCTGACATCCCTTCTGCTTGGTTTCACAGCACCGACCAGGGATGTCGAAGTCTGTCAGGGTGGGTGGCCCGCCGCCTCGTCTCCTCCACCGGGCTCTCCTCTCTGCGTGCGCCGCCCCCTGTCCCCCGCCCCCGCGCTGGGCAGCACCGCTCTCAGCTGGGCAGGAGGGAAGCCGGAGGCCAGGGGCTGAGGGAAGGCACCGCACCAGGACTGGGACCCTCAGCCCCGAGAAGCAAGGGGCAGGCCGCCGAGCAGCCCTGGGGAGGGGCTGGTGGCCCAGCAGGCTGTGCCTCCGTTGGCCTCGGCACTCACAGCACGCGCTCCTCGTAGGCACCCGAGGGCCCCGCGAACGCGGCCGCGGGCTCAGAGCCGAAGCTCGTTCCGCCCGCGAACTCCAGGAGGGTGCTGCCGTGCTCGCCCGGCCCGGCGCCCGTGCTGGTGCTCGGCGGCCCCTTGGCGGGTGCCTCGGTCTTGGGCGCAGGGGCCGTGGTCGCGGGGCCGGGCGCGCCGGCCGCGCCGCGGTGCGTCTTCATGTGGGTGAGCAAGTGCGAGCTCTGCGAGAAGCGGCGGCCGCAGTTGGCGCAGGCGTAAGGCCGCTCGCCCGTGTGCGTGCGCTGGTGCGTCACCAGCACTGAGCGCTGCGAAAAGCGCTTGCCGCACTCGGGGCACGGGAAGGGCCGTTCGCCGGTGTGGCCACGCCGGTGCTTGGCCAGGTTGGAGCGCTGCGCAAAGCCGCGGCCGCAGTCGGAGCAGCGGAAGGGCTTCTCGCCCGTGTGCGTGCGCCGGTGCCGCTTGAAGTCCGAGCTGTGGCCGAAGCCCTTGCCGCAGTCAGGGCAGCGATGCGGCTTCTCCTCGGCGTGCGCCCACTGGTGTCGCGTCAGCGCTGCGCTCTGCCCGAAGCGGCGGCCGCACTCGCCACATGCGTAGGGCCGCTCACCCGTGTGCGCGCGCCCGTGCGCCGTCAGGTGCGCGCGCCGGCTGAAACCAGCGCCGCACACGCCGCACACAAAGGGCTTCTCCCCGGTGTGGCCACGCACGTGCGCCGCCAGGTGAGAGCCGCGAGCGAAGCGCGCGCCACACTCGGGGCAGGGGAAGGGCCGCTCGCCCGTGTGCGTGCGCCGGTGGCGCGCCAGGTGCGAGCCGTACACGAAACTCTTGCCGCAGTCTGCACAGCGGTGCGGCCGCTCGCCCGCGTGGTAGCGCTGGTGTTTTGCCAAGGCCGCGCGGCGCCCAAACGTCTTGCCACAGTCGGAGCAGATCCACGGGCTCTCCTCTTCGGCCAGTGCGGCCGGCGCCGGCTCGGTCAACAGTCCCCCTACAGCCGGCCCGAATGCGCGCAGCCCGCTGCTGCTGCCGCCGCCCCCGGGCCCGCCACCGCTGCGGAAAGGCTCACAGGCCAGCCCCGCGCCCTCCACCAGGGAAAGCCGGCCCCCCAAGGGTCCTGACAGGGGCCGCCCATCAGCCGGCAGCTGCTCCCCAAAGCCCGGGAGGCTCAGGATCTGGAAGCCGTCTGGATGGAGCCAAGACTTGGGATGAACAGAAAAATGGAAGCCGAGAGGGTGCGAGGAGGGACCTTCACTGTCGCCTAGGCCGTTGCCCAGCTCCAGGAACCGCCGGTCAGGCTCGGGGTCCTCCTTACTCCGCGGGGTGGGCACCTCTGCGGCAGCTGCAACCTCCTCTCTCACCTCGGCCTCAGCCTCAGCCTCTCCATCCACCTCGTTGGCTTCAGGCCCCTCGGGCCCAGGCTCAGCGTCCTCAGGCTCTGCCGCGAGTACCGCGTCGCCGGGCTCCTGCCGAGGGCCGTCGCCGCTGGGCTCAGAGCAGCCCCCGCCGCGCCGGTGGCGCTGGAAGTCAGCGCGCAGGCGGAAGGCCTGCCCGCAGTCGGGGCAGCAGTGCGGCCGGTCCGCCGTGTGCACGGCCTGGTGCCGGGCGAGTGCCGAGCTCTGGCTGAAGCTGCGGCCGCAGTGCAGGCACGGGTAGGGCCGCTCGCCCGTGTGTGTGCGCTGGTGCGTGACCAAGTAGGAGCGGCGCCCGAAGCCTGCCCCGCAAAAGGCGCAGCGGTAAGGCCGCTCCCCCGTGTGGATGCGCCGGTGCGTGACCAAGTGGGACTTGTAGACGAAGCGCTTGCCGCAGTCCGGGCATGGAAAGGGCTTCTCGCCGGTGTGCGTGCGCTGGTGGATGGCCAGGTGCGAGCGGTACACGAAGCCCTTGCCGCACTCGTCGCAGCCGAAGGGCTTGACGGCCGCGTGGTAGCGCTGGTGCTTCGCCAGCCGGGACCGGTGCGGGAACACCTTGCCGCACACGTCGCATGTGGTCTCGGGGCGCCCTGCCTGAGCAGCCACTTCGTCTGGGAACGCCCAAGGCGCCAGCAGGCTCCCGCCAGGCTCACTGCCCGGCAGGAAGGGCTTCACCTCCGACCCCTCGGCCAGGGCCCCGAGGCCGCCTGGGTCGAGTCCCCAGCCCTCCGGAGTCGGCACCGAATCCGAGTCATCTGGGCCCCACGTCCCAGGCACATCCCCCACGCCATAGGCCGCCGACCACAACCCGGGGGGCTCGTTCTCTTCCTCGGCCACCTCCGCCAGGAAGTCCTCGTCATCTTCCTCCTCATGGTCCTCTATGTCATCGGTCCAGAACCAGGCACCTGAAGGCGGCAACGAAGGCCAGAAGAGAGAAGTGAGAAGAGGCTGGGGAGGGGCCCCTGCAGGCTCGGGTCCGGGAATCTCGGCCTCTGCGCACTCTGCTCTGAGCTCCTCCCTCTGGGCTCTTCGCCACCGGCCGAGGGTTGGCTGGCAACCAGCGGTCTCCCTGCCACCCCTGGAGCTGAACTGGGAAAGGCCGCCCTGGGTCAGGGAGACCGGGGCGCTCTGCATGCACCCCAGGGGCTCTGGCACCACCCCACGCACAGCCCGGCTTCCCCGCCACGCCACCCCCGCAGCGAGGCCTTCTGAGTGGCTGTCCACTTGGGAAGTGGTCCCTAGTGGGTTCAGACTGCAGGTGAGCTGCAAGCCTCTCCCACTGAAAAGACAAGGACCCCCCAGTCCCTGCTGCCCTGCCCCTCGTCTCGCGAGCCGCACCTGGCCCTCCCCCTCGGTGCAGAGCGTGGCTGTGGGGCCGGGTCTGCGGGGCTCCCGGGTTTGCAGGACGGGGGTGCTGGTGTGCCTGCCGCCAGGAGCCACCCTGGAGGGCACCGAGGGTTGTGGGGCAGGCACTACGTCACACAGGGGCCAGGCCTGGCCCCGGGGGCCCAAGCACTCGGAAGCACCTGTGTGCTTTCTTCTGCGCACTTGGTGCCGTGTGTCCACGGCAGGTGCGCATCGCTCTGCAGCCTGCCTGCAGGGAGACCCTGGCCAGAACCCAGGCCTGAAGATGTGGCCCGGCGTGTCGAGAAGCACAGGCGAGGGACGGACTTCCGCCCCGCAAGGCCACAGCCTAGCCAACACAGGAGCCCTGCTGGGCTCGGCGCGGTCGGCACCCGCCCCGCCGAGTCCCAGCAGCCTCCCCCTGGCGCAGCTGCACAGAAGTGCGGATGGGGGAAGGGTGGGAGGCATTTCGCAGACAGGGCGCAGCTCCGCTTCAGGAGGACTGGGCGGGTTCGCCCTGCAGACAGGTGACACATCTGACACTATGCGTGGATCCAGCCCACCTCGGGCTCTGCAGATGGCCGGAGCCAGGGGTGGGGGAGCATTCCAGGCCCCCAACCAGGTTCATGGATGCACCATGGCTCCACCCCAGGACCCTCCAAGAACTACAGAGGACTGGGCACATCCAGACCCCGTGACAAGAGACCAGCCAGTGCCAGGCCGTGGCCCTGCCACCTGCGGCGGCTTTTCTGAGACATGTCCATCCCAGAACCCATGCCCCTCTAAGACCCTCTGAGACACATCGTCAACACCCCAGTCTCCTCCCGGAGGCAGCAGCGATATTTCTCGCTGGCCAGAGCCCCCCTGATTCTGAGGCCCAGGAAGGATTCCCACGGGGTCCCAGACAATGGACGCCTGCGCAGGAAGTCCACCCTGCAACATGGTGGAAAGTGAGGCCTGAGACTGGGCCACCCACGGGCAGGCCAGGCGATCGCCACCTGGACGGTCAGCATCCTCAGGTGCGAGGGGAGGCCAGTCCCCCGCTGCTGTGACCCGGGGTTGTTAGGAGCACCAAGAGTACGTGGGGGGACGCTCCGTGGCGTGCACATGTATGCAGAGCGCTGCCTGTGTTTTTCTGTATCTTTTTACTTTAAACGCATCCAGGAGCTGCCGAGTCTATGCAGGCACGTGACTGGCGTGAGACGGGCAGCGACCCTCCCTAGGCCGGCGCCACGCCTGCTGTGAGAGGGCCTCCGCTGAACCTCGCAGCACCCACGAGACCCCCACAGCATCGACAGGCCGACGTCCTCAGGTTGGAAACTACAGATTTAGTTCAAAGTCTTTATTTTCCAGGTGAGTAAAGTGAGCCGCAGACAGATGAAGGAATGGAGCCGGGCCCTGGGTCCCCGGAGACATTTGCCGCCCTGAGCGTTTCCTGGAAGAATCTCTCCAAAATCCCCTCTCTGGAAGGTCCAGAGCTGCCCGGCCAGGCCGGCGGCCTGTCTCTGGGCCTCCCGGGGAGAGGAGAGCAGGCTAAGGGGGACCCGTAGTTCGGAGGTGGCCAGGTGGGCGGCGGAAGCCGGAGGACCAGCTCGAGCACAGCCCGGACCGACAGCCCACTCGCCCCTCCGAGCGGCAGCTTCGCAGCTGGCCCTCATGTACAAAGACTCTTGGAGGCTCCAAGGCAAGGACGAGGGGTCGTTTCTAAAGTCTCCTAAGAGGAACCTCTAGGTTCTCTAAGGAGCTCCCAGCCCGCGGCTCCCTGCAGGCTGGGACCAAGAGGGGCCAGCTCACGGAGGCGGTGTTTAGCCCATAGCGGCCACCCTGTCTCCACGAAGCCCACCCCAGAGCCCAGGCTGCCCGTACCAGGACGAAGGAGGGACCAAAGGTGAAGGCCAGGGTCCGGCGAAGCTCCGAGGAGCTGAGTTGGCAGAAACCCCGCGAGAGTCTGTCTCCTGCTCACCTGTGTACACACCAGTGACGATGTCTCCCTCCTCAGGACGGGGGCTGTCTGGGACCCAAGGCTCCTGTCCTTGTTCCAGACGAGAGATCAGATCCGGCTTGGGGATGGGGTATCCTGCCGCGGAGGAGACCAGCGGCAGTGCGGCTGCGCCCGCAGGCCCCTGCCAGCCCCGCCACACACCCTGTGAGGGCCCCCTCCTCTGCCTCCTCCGCCCGGGGTCTCCGGGAGCGTTCCAAAGGCAGGGGCCAGGCCGGCAGCTCCCCAGAGCATGCCCTCCCAGCTCCTGGCACGGCCGGGTTCCCCTGGGAGGGGGCCCCCTGTCCAAGACCCCACCCTCTCGGACAGCTCAGGCCCTGGCAGCCATCGCACCGGGATGCCCTCGGGGATGAAAGGCCCCTGCTTACCCAAGGACACCAGGATCCCATAGTTCCCCTGCATGACTTCCTTGTAGAGGTCCCGCTGGTCGGCGTCCAGCCGTTCCCACTCCTCCAGGGAGAAGTACACGGCCACGTCTTCAAAGGTCACCAGCCCCTGGGAAACAACGTGCCCTGGTCACAGATCTAAACCACCCCAGACAAGGGGCAGGACCTACAAAGGGAGCCACGGATGATGACTTCGACAGGCCGGGCCGAGGCCGAGACATGGCGCTCACGGGCCGCACCGCGGCCCCGCCACCAGCAGGCCCACGAAAGCCCAGCAGCGCCGGGGGCTTCCCGGCCTTGCCACAGCCCCCGGGCAGGGGCCCCGTGCCACACAGAGGCGGCAACCCAGGCTCGGAGGGGCGAACACCTGGCACATACGGGGCCGAGGCGCGCTTCACACGGACATCCGGGGACAGCGAAGCCACGCCCTCACGCCCCTGCCACACGACCGCCCCATCCCTCCTACCTCACAGTTTGGCTCAAACCAGCAGTCACATCCGGGGTGTGAGGGCCCCCCCGGGTGGATGAGTGGCACCGGTTAAACAGAGTGTGGGCACTGGTGTCCGGCCGGAGGGGCTCAGCAGCAAGTCAGAGCCTGGACACACGACAGGCGCTGCAGGTGAGGGCACAGCCTGGCCCTGGGGAAGAGCCAGGCCTCTGAAGGAACAGGGCTGGCGAGCGGGCGGCGGCCGACACGAACCGGACATGCCGGTGGCCTGGGAAGGGTCGGCCCCAGGAGAGCGTACCACATCCCACCGCCTGGGGCCTGGCGGTGCCCGGCACCTTCTGCGGCCCCGCCCCAGCCCACAGCCTGGGCTCAGCCGGAAGACCACGGAGCCGCTGCCCTGCCAACCGGGCCTCCAGGGCGGCGGGCGGCAAGCGCCTGGGGACCCTGCCTGGTTAGCTGAGCTCCAAAGGAGAAGGCAGCTCACTTGAGACGCGGCTGTCAGGAAACCATCCTCATCATCCTCGTCCTCATCCTCCTCCTCCTCCTCGTCCTCGTCCTCGTCCTCCAGGTCTTCCTCCCCAAGCGCGGCTGGAGGCCGGGAGGCCTGCAGGGCTGTGGAGGGGTAGGTCTCTTAGGGGCCAGCTGCCTTCAGTGCGGGGCCTCGCCGCCCGGGCCGCCTTCGCCTGTCCGGTGAGCAGGGTCGGGAGCTCCCGGCCACACCCCGTTTCAAAGCCCGGGCCCTGACATCCCGGCTGCAGCTCCCCCGCCAGCCCCTTGGGCCGGGGAGCTCCCAGGCCTGCCCGCCGCGCCCTCACCCGCCTCCCTTCCCTAAGGGCCAGCCTCTCCTCCTTACCCTTCTCCTTAAGCACCGGGGACTGGGCGGCACCACCGCGACCACGGCGTTCCTGGGTCCCCGACGCTGGGCTCTGCTCCTCTGCCACCACCTTCTCCACATCCTCGTCTCCCTGCAGCTCCACCTCCACCTGCTCTGCCGGCCCCACCTGCGACCCGGCGGCCTCCAGCTCCGCCACCTCCTCATCTTCCTCTTCGTCCGCTACCAGCCCCTCCTCGTCCTCCAGCATCTCCACCTCTTCCCCCTTCTCTTCCTCCTCCTCTTCCTCCTCCTCAGGGTCACATTCCGACCCGTCCTCCGCTCTCTCCAGGTGGGCCGCCGGGGAGTCCGGGGCCGTGTGAAGGGCCGCCATCTGCGCGGGAAGCCAGCCTCGGCCCGCCCTGAAACAGAGACAGGCCGCGTGATGAGCCGACGCAGCACGAGCAGGCTCCTGCCGGGGCCTCCTGCACCCACGGGCGCTGCCCCAAGGGACGCTCTCTGTGAACCCCATTGTGTGGTCTCAGCTGTTGAAGTAAATCAGGGATTTATCCTAGGTCTTCAGTCTCAGGGACTGGGGTCTTTGCAGTGGGATTAAGTGAAAGGTCTCGAGATGGGGTCATCCTGGGTCAGGGTGGCCCCACCTCCAATGACAGTGTCCTTAGAAGAGACAGAAGAGGAGACAGACACAGAGGAGAAGCCATAGGGCAGCCCTTTGCAGGGCGTCCGGGCAACGTGGCTTGAGCGGGGCCTGCATTTAGCTGCGCAGAGCGAGCGCCGCTGTGAGAACAGGCCCCCGACACGCAGGAGGAGGGGCTCACCCAGCCCCGCACGCAGGAACTCCGCCAGCAGGGAGCGCTGGAGGGGAGGCCTGTGCAGGGGCAGGCGGCAGACCCGGCACAGCGAGGCGGCGCGGAGGCGACAGTGAGACCAGCTCAGCCGCCCACTGCCAGGGGCCCCGCGGCGAAGAGGTCCCGAGCGGCACTGCCCGCCGCACCCTCCCCACCCCTGGCTGTGACCAGGCCGTTTGGGAAGAGCCCAGCGGGTCACGGAGATGCGGATCATCGCGCGACCAGAAAGGTAATATCGAATGCCCTGGGACATCTCTCCGGGCTGGGAGATCAGAGAATCCTAAGAGCTGAACTGCCAGAGCCCCGGTGGCTGACAGGGTCCTACCTCACACCAACGTCACAGCCGGTCCAACCCAGGCCCTCAGGGGAGACACGGACAGGCGGTGGCATGGCCCTGGACTGTGGTTCTGGGGGAGGGGAGGTCCCCGCCCTGGGGCCACTCCTCCCTCCCGGCTGTGGACCCTCCATCAGCCCCAGTGAAGTGCCAAGGGCGGGACAGGGTCCGTGTCCATGGCTCCTTGCCCGGCGCCGCTCCATCAGCCTCGCAGACTCAGCAAGTGCCTTCCTGACGTGAGCCAAGCCCCCTGCACACACAGCGCCCCCGAATCCTGGGGTGAGGGCACGACACAGGGAAGATCCAGAGATGTCAGGCCGCCTGGCTCCCCCGGCTGCCCCAGCAGAAGCGTCTGCCACAGAACCCGAGACAGGACGGGGCACCAGCAAACAGATGCCCGGGGTCACGAGGACAGTCCGGGTCACCCAGGGGGGCGCTGTGACCCGTCGCATCTGTGCTGAGGCGGCGGCGCACGCTCACATCCTGAGCCGCTCGCTCTGAGCTGCCGCCTGGAAGCCCACACTTCAGAGTGAGGGAGCTTGGAGCGTTCCTGTAGCTCCTGCCGAGACCGAGGCCCGGGCCTGGGGGTCACTGGCACCCAGAAGCCACGTGTGGCCTGACCCTCAGGCTCCCCCGTGTGGCTCCAGCCCCGTTCTAGATTCAGTCACCGAGCCCCAGGTCACAGGGGAAGAACCGTGCCCGGCGGGCGCCCCCCGCCTCCGGCCTCTCCTGGAGCGACCTCTCGGTCTCCACTCCTCCCTCTGTGTGAAGGTGCCCTGTGTGGCCTGCCAAGGCCGGGAGGACGCAGCCCTGCCCAGCCCTCGGGGCACCGCGAGTGCCAGCAGAGGTTTCCCAACTGCCACCTACCTCGGGCTCAGAGGAGGACCCTTCTCACCCAGACCTCAGGCTGCAAGTTCAGGCTGAGTGCGGACGCCATGCCACGCGCGGCGGAGGTGCCTCCTGCCTGGCCACCAGGCGGAACTGACTGCCACAGGCCAGGCCGCGGTGTCCAGGGACCACACTCAGAAGACGCCGCCATGGCTTTGGAATGAACCGACCCCCTGCTCAGGGCCTGGGATCTGCCATCCCCCTCCCTGGAACCCACCTGCCCTCACCCTCGCACATCCCCCGGGGGCCGCCCCGCGCTTCTCACACACTTAGGAACGGTCTGCTCGCTGCCCGTCCCCCAGGTACACAGTCACCTCTAAGAAGGCAGAAGTTCCCTCTGCTCATCTCTGCACCCCCTCAGGCCAGAGACAGAGTAGGCGCTCAACTATCTACGGAAGAAATGGCTCTAAGCCCGAAGTCACCGTGATGAACGTGAAGTTTTAAAAACTTCCTCTTTTGGCCCCACTGTCACGCTGTAGAACAGACTGACCGCTGCTGGGTCCCACTCCAGACGCGCTGCAGAGGCTCTGCCTCCAAGGAGGTTTGGCCTGGAGCCTCTTCTCCCAAGCAGTGCACCTGCTGGTGACCAGAGATGGGGAAGACCCAGCAGCCACAGAGGTCAGCAGTCACCCTGCGGATGGGGACGGCGACCAGCACAGCCAGGCGGCCCACAGGCCCAGCCCAGGATGCAGAACACGGTGGTTCTGTAACACGGACCTCGGTCACGTGAGCGCTATGCTGGCCGTGCCTCCCCCGGCCAAGTCGTGCTGCGCATGCGCCCCAGACCCCCACACTTCTTTCTTCTCTGTCCCCCCTCTCAGCCCACCCGAAACTCCCTTCGCCTCCTTCCCAGCACCCGATTCCAGGTCAGCGGCCACAGAGGGTCGCGTGAGTCGCATCACCAACACAAACTCGGCCCGTCCCAGACCCCCATTTCCACTGGAGCCCTGCTCCCGGGGATACGGCGCTGCAGACGGTAGGAACTGGGCCAACAACACACCTTCCACGGGGAGAGGGGAGGATCCCGTGGACCGAAAGAAAGGGCAGCGTGTGAAAGCCATTAGAAGTGCTCCAGAAAAGTGGATCAGTAGACAGAGACCGTGAGGCGAGCCGGTGCGCATGGAGTCCTCCCCACTGGGTGGCCTTACTGACCGCACCCCGGTGGTTCTAGGCCTTCCAGGGCTTCAGCTCCTCCGGGAAGCCCTCCTTCCCTGACCACCAGGGTCCGCACCGTCGGGCTGTGGAGTTGGGCTCCCCTGCTCTCCCGCTGCGAGTGCCTCCACGGACCGACCGTCCCAGCTCTTGCCACGCCGGCCGATCCCCAGGCCTGCCAACACTTGTTGAACCGAACCAAGTACCAAGGTCTCCCCACACAGGCGCGGCGAGGGGCCTGACCCTCCTGCACGCCTTCCCTTCCCCACCCCCGCCGGGTCCTCCGCGGAAGGCCCACCGCTCTCCCGGCGCTGCGGCCACACGGGGCAGCCCAGACCCTGTGCAGCTCCAGGGTTGGCAGCTGCAGACAGCACAGCAGCCTGCTCGGGCGTCCATTTGCAGACGAGGGAGGCCCGGCAAGGCCCCCGAGGGCGCTAAGCAAGCTCACAGGGGTCAGGTCAAGCCCCTCCATCCTTCCAAGGGGCTCGCCTCCTACAGAGACCCTGGCGGTGACAGCCCCTCCCGGATGGGTGTGTCCGCGGGGCCGGCCACAGACCGCCCCCCGCCCCAGACGGCTGCGAGCAGCTCCCGAGGAGTCGCGCCTGCGCCCCCGCCGCGCCCCCGCCCACCTGCTCCGTGCTGCCCTGCGGGACAGGCCGGGGGGGGGCGGAGCCCGCCCACCGCGCAGGCCCGGGCGGGGGTCGCAGGCCGCAGCGGGTATGGGCGCGGCCGCCTAAGGCCCGGCCCGCGCGCCTCTCCGGCCCCGCCAGGCGCAGGACCAGGCCCTTAGCCCCGCCGCGCGCCGCGGCCTCCTCGCCGCTTCCCGGGCCGGCGTCGAGGGGCCGCCCGGCCCGGGACCCGTGCCTGCGCCCCCGCCGCACCTGCAGCGCGCGCCGCCGCCCGCAGGCCCCGCCACCCACTCACCGCGCGCTGCGGGCCGGCCGAGCCGTCGCCGGACGCCGGGGCCGGGCAGGGCCTGCGCGCCCCGCACTACACAAAGTGACGGCCCCGGAGCTGCGCGGCGGCGGCGCGTGGGCACCGGAAGTGCCGCCGCCGGCCCCGCCCCGCCCGTGCCAACGGGGGGGCACTTCCGGTTACGCGGGGTCCAGCGCGGCTCCCGGAGGGGGCGTTCGTGAGCGGGAGGAAGCTCCCGGCGGGCGACGGCGCCCTCAGACCTGAAGTCGGCGCTCGCGGGCACCCGCGCCCCCATCCCTCGGTCCCTCCCCCCCGCCCCCCGCGATCGTGTCCCTGAAGACTCCGAACCCCCACCTTGAAACCCCGGCCCACCCCTGCAGGCCCCGGCGCCCGCGACCTGCCCCGAGACCCGGACCCCACCGTGGGGACCCTGCCCTGCTCTGACCCTGGAGCCCTCCCGAGAGGTTCCACATACCCTCTCCCCTAACGCGCTCAACCCTGGCTCAGGGGCCTTGCTGAATGCCAGGCCCGCGCTGGGCCCGCTCAGGCCTCCTGACCCTCTCAGGGACCCACGACGGTGGAGGGAGGTGGTGACCCCTATGGGGGCCTAGTGGAGGCGTCCCTCTGTCCCGAGTGCTGTCAGGCCTGGACGTGGTTGATACCTTGGTGGTGCCGGGCAGTCGGGACTCTGGCGGGTGGATCGCGGCCCACAGCTCACTGTCCTGGCTCGCGGGAGCACTGGTGCATGTAGGGCCAAGGAGGGGGAAACTCGGGGCGGGGGTGGGGTGGGTTACCCAGAATGGATGAAGATGATTACTCACGGGCAGGGGCAGCTGAATAAATGCAATAAGGGCCCCGGGTTGGGAAGAGACCTTTGACCAGGACCACGGGGAGGGCATGGATCTGGGAAGGCTGGGGCTCTCCAGCCAGAGGGGGCAGAAGGGACAGGTGACTGGAGCTGTGCTGCAATAAGGTCCGGGCGGTGGACTCCAGCTGGCCACCCGCAGCCCTCTCCAAAACCTGTGTGCACCCGCCCCCAGGAGACGCGGCGGAGGGCGCACGGTGAGCTCCCGCACCCATGGAGGGTGTGGCCTCTTTCAGCCTGGCTGCAGCTTCTGGCCAGGAATAGCGTCGCCCCGCTCCTTCCCACCGGTACCACGGTACCCCCAGCCCAGGGACCCTCTGTTCAGGGCAGGCTCACACCTGCCCGGAGTAATGGCTTCCCCCTCCGGGAGGTCAGCTGTGATGTCGGGAGCAAGGGGCGTGCAAGTAGACCGTCCCCTGTGCTCGGAGAAAGAAACCAATTCACTGGATAGGAGCGTTAGTCTCTGTGTTTATTTTGGAGCCAAAAAATAAAATTCCTCACCCTTGTGACCCCTTGTGCAGGGCCGGCCAGGCCCGGAGAGAGTGGCCCCCTGCAGCCATGGGGCAGGCAAGGTGGGGTTGCAAGAGGCCGGAAAGCAGGTGCAGATGGAGAGCAGCGGAGCCGCCCCACCCAACAGGGATGGGGGATCAAGTCCGGGCCCTGCAACGGAGCAGCAGCGGGAGCCAAGCAGGGCAGGGCGTGGGCCACGGACAGAGGAGTCCCGGGGAGGGGGACAGAGTCTCACCTTGACCAGACTCCTGGTCTGCACTCCACCTCAGCCGGGCCCCCGCTCTGGGCTTTCGTGTCTGTGTGGCAGCACCCAGCTCTAGCAAAAATCCTGTCAAGTCAGTTCAGCCAGAATCTCCACCCTGGATATCTGATCACCTTTCACATTTGACCAAAGCCCGCACCCCGCCACCCCCCAGCTGGCGACAGATCGCCCCGCCTGGCGGCGGCAGGAATGCAACCCGGGCTGCTGAGCCACAACCCACCCATGGCGCCTCTCTCCTCGGTTTCCGTCCACCGGCTTCCCCGCCCCCACACACCCTGCTCCTTGGCTGTGAACCCCTACACGTCTTCCCGTCCTGAGGCCTCTTTTCCCCTATTGCACTAGATCCTGAATAAAATGTTGTTACTGCTCTAACTAATGTCTGGCTCTGGATCTCTGTAAAGATGGTACTGCTGTGCTCTCTCCATGCTGGGGGCTTGGTGGGGACATCAGTCATCACCCCTCTGTGCCAAGCTCCTTGCCAGCCACCCCGCCTCCATCATCGTGTGAGAGCCCAGGAAGAGCCCAGGAGGGCTTCCTGTAGGAGGAGACAAGCTGACAGTCGAGTGGGAGTGAGCTCTGTCCAGGGAGCAGGCCAGTCCCTGAAGGCAGCGCACCGCTGCAGGTGGTCTGTGTGGAGGCAGGGCGCCTCCAACAGAGAGTCCCACACGCACCTAGAGGCCTCATACCTCCCGCGTCCCTGTGTCCCTGCTGGTGAGCCTCAGCAAGGCTGACACACAGAATGGGCTTTGCAACGATGACTGGGTGGACTGACATCCCCCTCGCCCCCCACACCCACCACAGAGTGCGGAGCAGACACTAGACAAGTGACAGTGTCGGTGAACTCCCGTCATGAACACATTTTCAGGCTCCTCCCCTAACTGGTGAAGGCACATAACGGTGACGTGGAAAATGTATTAATTGGATACGATCGATTCAGAGCTTGTCCTCAGGAGACGCCTGTCCCTCCTGTGAGGGTCTTAGTGAACAATCCATCCCTAGCCGAGGGCCTCAAGCTGGAAGCAGGGGCCCGGGCGAGGCCCGCCCGGCCAGTGCGCACCTGGCTACCGTGTTCCTGTGTCTGGAGCCGCCAGGGAAATGTCGCATGCAAATGATGCTGCACAAAACTCAGCGGGAAACACACGGGACAATGTATTTCTTCATTTAAGTTTATTTTTTACATTTTTGTTTCTCACTTACCAACACGTGTGTAACATGTAGCAGGCTGTGTTAGTAAAGGAGAGCGCGGCAGGGGCGGGACCTCAGCAGCCACACGTGGGAGATCCGGGCGGTGGGGGGGCCGGGACAGAGGGGGGGGCAGCCTCCTCTGCCGCCTGCCTTGCTGCGGGAGGCCGCGGCCCCCGGATGGGTGTGTGAGTGCAAAGAGCATTCCTGATGTCTCCCGCCCTTGTCCCCAACGTCCTCCCTCTGACCCTGGCAACCAGGCAGCGTCCGCTCCGGCCAGCCCCCTGCAGGGCCTGGCCCAGGAGGCTCCTGCCCCTGGGTCTCAAGGGCGTCCTGGAGCGGGAGGGTTACAGGGAAAGGGGGTACCCCAGGCCTCTTTCAGGCCGTGGGGGGAGCATCATTCCTTTGGACTTTGGCCGGCACTCCCAGAATGCCCTCTGCTTCAGCCACAGGCTTCTACGAGAGAGACACGAGGGGCCGCTTTGGACACGGGAACAGGCGCGGCAGAGCCTACGGCCTGCGCCCCAGCGAGTCAGGACTCCCGTGGCCCCGGGGCAAGGTTGCACCTTCTGCCCAGAGTAGGACTTCCTGGCATTTGCACATTGTCCCAGCAGACACTCTGACCCTGTGTTTATGAACACAAACATTTAAATCAGGGTTCTATTCCCCCTGAGGAAGTTTTGTTCGAGAAAGTATATTCAGAGCAAATGCAAGTGAGGGCAATCCAATGCCCCGATCAGTTAGTTCTCGACATAGTGCAGACGAATTGCCTTTCCTCCCATATTTCTTTGAAATAAGTTTCACCAGGATCATATCCTTTTCATGTGCATATCACCAGGTATATTTGATTCCCTGGATAGTGTTCAATCCGCATCCAATGTCCCCAACTGTCCCATCTGTCACTGGAAGTTTTCTCGGGTGGCTCTCGTTTCTAGCAGGCCCACGTTTCCCAGGAGAGGCGCTTCTTGGCGGTCTCCTCCCCCGTCGGCGCCCAAGACGAAAGTGTAGCGTGTGCTGTTTTGTGCTGATGTGCAACATCTGTGCTGTCTCAGCCACACCGGCCTTGCTGTCGCAAGCGTCCCTGAGGGTGGTGATCCGTCCTGCTCTGCCGGCGATCCCGAGGGCGGACGGAGGCCTTTTCCGAGAGAGGCGCCGGGATGTCAGAGAAGACCGCGGAGTGGGGTCACGACACCGCAGCGGGCCAGGCGCAGTGCCTCCCAAAGCCAAGGAGCCGGCCCCGTCCCCCTCACGGGGCCTTGTCCCCGGTGGCCTGCTCCGCGCGCGGAGGCCCGCCCGTGGCCGTGCGCGTGCCGCGGAGCAGACCCAGGCCCCGCGAGCGGCCAGCCCCGTGCAGCTGTCGCTCGTGGCGGCGGATCTGCACCTTGTGGCGGAAGCGCTCGCCGCAGTCCTCGCAGACATAGGGCCGCTCGCCAGAGTGCGTGCGCCGGTGGCGCAGCAGGTTGGACGAGACGCTGAAGCGCTTGCCGCAGTCCCCGCAGGCGTAGGGCCGCTCGCCTGTGTGCGTGCGCTGGTGCTGCACGAGCGCCGAGCTCTCGCTGAAGCGCTTGGAGCAGTAGGAACAGGCGTAGGGCTTCTCGCCCGTGTGGATGCGCTGGTGTGTCACCAGGTTCGAGTGCTGGGAGAAGCCCCTGCCGCACTCGCCGCAGCGGTGCGGCCGCTCGCCCGTGTGCGTGGCCTGGTGCCGGATCAGGTCGGTGCTGCGGCTGAAACCCTTGCCGCACTCGCCGCAGATGGTCGGTCGGTCCCGGGCGCGCCGCCTTCGCCGCTGCCTGGCTGGTGCCAGGGCTGCGCTGCCCGCGGGGCCCGAGATGGGCACCACCGCCGGCGGTGGCGGGGCCACGGCCGGCAGCACCATCAGCTCCTGCAGCACCACGTAGCCAGGAGGAGCCACCATGACGGCGGCCGGAGCCCCCGGCCCCGAGGCCCCGCTTGCCCCCGCAGCAGGCACCAGCTCCAGCTGCAGCTCTGGCTGCACGGGTGTCAGCTCCAGCTGCACCTCCTGCTGCTGGGCCCCCAGCTCCACCGGGGTCAGCTCCAGCTGCACCTCCTGCTGCTGCTCCAGCTGCTGCTGCTGCTGCTCCAGCTGCTGCTCCAGCTGCTGCAGCTGCTCCTGCAGTTTGAGCTGCAGCTGCCGCTGTTCCTGCTGCCGCTCCAGCTCCTGCTGCCGCTCCAGCTCCTGCCGCTGCTGCTCCAGCTCCTGCTCCGACCCCAGGTCCACAGGCATGAGCTCCAGCTCCACCTCTTCCTCCTCCTCTGGCTCCAGTGGATGGGGCTGCAGCTGCTGCTGGTGCAACTGTTCTTGCTGCTGCTGCTGCTGCTGCAACTGTTGCTGCTGCAACAGCTGCTGCTGTAACCTTTCTTGCTGCTGCTGCTCCTGTTGCTCCTGCTGCTGCTGCTGCACCTGCTGTTCTAACAGCTCCTGCTGTTGCTCCATCTGCTGTTGCTCTTGCACTTGCTGCGCTTGTAACGCTCCCTGCTGTTGCATCGGCTTCAGTCGCTCACGTTGCCCAGATCGGGGTTCTTCCTGTAGTTCCTGCTGTTGCCTGTCCTGCGGCTGTGGTGGCTGTTCCTGCTGCTGCTGCAATAGCTGTTGCGCTTGCACTTGTTGCATCCGTGGCAGTTGCGGCTCCAGTGGCTGACGTGGCCGGGATTGGTGTGTTTCCTGCGGTCTCTGCTGTCGTTGAGGCAGCTGTTCTTGTCCCTCTTGCTGCTGCTGTGGTTCTGGCCGATGTCCTGATGGCTGGTTTCGTAGCTGCTGCTGTTGCGGCTGTTCCTGCTCTGGCTGTTGCTGCGGCTCTGGCTGCTGCAGTTGCCGCTCTGGCTCTCCTGGCTGGGCTTCCTCAGCAACCTCACCGGACCCCTCTGGGGCTGAGGCTGCGGGCCGTGGCGCGCGGCTGCCGCTCTCCTGAGCCTCTCCTTCCTGCCGACTCTCACCCCGACCGCTGCCACCTAGAGTGGAAATGGCAGGAAGCCAGGAGAGGAAAATCTGCAAGCAGCTCAGGCCACACGGCCGCCCCTCGCCCTGCCCCACGGACAGCCTCTTTAGGATACCTGACTGAGCTCTCAGCAGGGCCCAGAGGCACTGGATCAAGTGACAATGGCAGCATGGCAGAAACCGAAATGCCCAGAGGGGTGGAGTTGGCCTGGAAGGGCGCCCAGAAGACTGCTGGTCACGTCCCTCTGGACCCCAGCTCCCTGGCTCCCTCTCAGGGCCGCCCCCTGCACAGGCTCCATGCTCGGTAGTGACATCAGCGTGGGTGTCTGGGCCCCCCGACAGAAGCCCTCTGTGCCTGGTCACCATCCAGTGGGAACCCGCGAACCAGCCGTCCCGAGGCACAAGCCCACGCTGCTCTCTGACCTCAGGCAGGATCACACCTTAAATAAGTGCAGCATGCTGTCTCTGTGACTGAGAAATAATTTCTGCAAAGCCCCCTGAAGCGTTGCCACAAGCGGTTTCTATAAGTCACCTGCGTTTCAGAGAGAGCCCGCGGTCTCCACTGGGAAGGCCTCCCCCAGGCAGAGCTGCCCAGCTCCGCAGCCTCAGCGCCCTCCTCGTCCGTGCGCCGGCTTAGGGGCACCCATGCCGCCAGCTTCCTGAGCGGAGCAGGAGGGGCCCCGCGTGCCCCCTGGAACCTGGGAGACACTTGACGAGGGCCTCCCCCTGTGGGTTAGGACTTAGTTTGCAAACTAACAAAACGGTTTGGAAATGCCAAGGACACAACTCGCTGCATCGGAAACAGCCTAAAGGCGGCCGTGTCTGACGTTGCTGTTCTGGAACGGAGGGGACGCACGCGTGGCCCTGCGTGAACAGGGTGGCCAGCCAGTTCCCTGACCTCCGGGGACCGCAGTTTCTCCACCTGCGGAAGGAGACGGAGCCTTTCTGGGGACACTGAGAACCCGAGAGGATGAATGCACGGCCTGGCGCGGCCCTGCGGCCGCACAGCGTCACCGTGTCACCGTCCACACAGCGGCCGCAGGCAGTCCCCGCTCTGCGCCTCGCTGCTGGGCTGGCAGGCGCCCTGCGGGGCTCTCTCCACTCCCGGGTCCGGCGCAACATCTGTGCTTCCTACGGCATCATAGTCTCACTTTTGTGATGGAAAGCAGAGATCTGATTTACAAAATTTTGCTTTTTGCTCATTTTCCCCGTAATATATTGATTTAATGAAACCGAGGGATATCTACACGGAAATAATTTTCTTTTAGAAAACTACTCCTGATAACCGGGAGGGCGCACTTCCAGGCAGCGAGCCGCCTGCCATGCTCCAGGCACCTTCCGCCACCGCAGCAGGCCCGGGGCTGCGGCAAAGGGGCCTCACTGGGGCCTGAGGTCGGCCTCCTGGCTCAGGAGGTCAGAGCCCCACCCCTGCGCCTCACCTGAGAGGGTGTCAGGCCCCGGGCCCCCATCTTCAACACAGCGAAGCTTCAGCACGAGGGTCCCAGTCGCCGGCCCCAGCTCCATCCCAGAGATCAAACCAAGATTCCAGGGAGCCGACTGTGCTGAGAGGAAGGAGGAAGGGAGCTGTCCAGGCGGCCATGGTGCTGTGAGCAAGTGCCCAGCCCAGGGCACCGAGTGCCAGAGAGCCCCCGAGCCGGCCTCGGGCCCCCAGAGCAGGCAGCCCCAGCCCCTTGGGGAAGGAGGCCGGTGTGGTCCTCGGTCCCCAGCAGGAAAGGCAGGCGTGGGCAGCCTGGAGGCCCACTCCCAGGGCCCTTCCCTGCACAGGGGCCCCTCCCTGACGCCCTCTACGCCCAGGGGTGGCCTGCAGCTGCTCTTCAGCAAGGGGACTGGGGGAGCCAGACCCTCCTGGGGTGGGGAGCTGAGGTCCCAGGGGGACATCTGGGACGTTTGCAGAAAAGATGCTTGTCCATCCCATGTTCCCCCGCCCTGTTCAAAGCACTGACAAGTCTGTTCACTCTCTGTTCTCCTGCCTCCCAGACTCAGGATTCACTCAGCCTTCCCAGGCCATCAGCAAGCCGTGGGTCCCAGGTCACGTGTGTCCTGGTGCCAGCTCGGCTCCATGGGAAGGCAGGCTCCCAAAGCACCACAGCCCGTGGAACTGGCCAGCTGCCAGCCAGGCCATGGGCCCGGGGCCTGGGGCCCCTGAGGTCTGGAGGGTTCCCCGCCTCTCTGTGTCCCCCGGCCCCTGCAGAGCTGTCCCCACATCCAGTCCTCCCCCACCCCTGCAACAGGGCCACTCCAGGCCCCTCTGGCCTTTGAGAGCCCAGGCCACAGCCTCGTTCGTAGGAGAAGTGCCCTGGCTTCACCCAGCTCTCCCGCGCACCGGGCCTCACCTGGTGCAGCATTTCCTGCTTCACGCAGCAGCCTCTGCGCTGGGGGAGGTGCAGTCAGCAGGAGAGGGAGGTGAGGGCCAGAGCCCTCAGCCGGGGCCTCCCTGTGGCATCTCCATCCAGAAAGAGCTGGGGAGGCGCTGGGCACCCCCCGGGCACCTTTCTGGGCACTTCAGGGGGGTCCGCAGCCGTCAGGGCTGCCCAGGTCGCCGTGGGCCAAAACAGGGGACAGAACTGAGTTCAAGAACAGAAGTTGGTGTCAGCTCCTTGGGGAGGGGAGCGGGGAGGAGAGCGAGCCCCATCCAGCGCTGGGCTCACAGCTGGCCCGGCGCGACCAGAGCGCGTGCCGCGGGCTCCGGAGTGGACCAGGTGGCGCGACCCCGGTTGAGGTTGGCAGGGGCCAGGCGACACCCGTCTCGGCTCAGGAGGCTCAGCCCAGGGCAGTCCGGGGCCGGCCGGGCTCCGCGAGAGGCCACAGGTGCCCAGATCCCACGGGCCTCGGGCGGGGGGCGGGCGGCGCGGCCGGGCAGGGGTCCCCCTTCGCTCGCCCGCCCGCCCGAGCGCGCGTCCGGACGGCCTGCGTCCGTGCGGGCGGCGGCCCGGCCGGGGTGGGGGCGGCGGGGGCCGGCACAGGAAGTACCCCCAGCATCCGCATCCTGTCCCCCGCCCGCCGCCCGCCGCCCGCGCCCCCGCTCCGCGGCCCCCGCCGCCGCTGCCGCCGCCACCGCTGCCTCTCTAGGCAGTCGCCAGCTCGGTGGGCTTAACCCTTCCCGGCCCGCGGCTCCCCCGCGGCGTGGGACGCGAGGCGGAGACCCTGCGGTGCGCAAGAGAGCAGCGCGCTCTGCCGCATCCCCGGGTGCGCGTCTGCGCGCAGGGCTTGGCGACCCGACAGTCGCTGCGCCGGTCTCCGCGGAGGCTCGCAGCCTCAGCGCGCCCCTGGACCGGGTCCAAGTTGTGGCCAATTAGCTCTCAAATAGGTGACACTGAGTTAATGCGGAGGCCGCGTCCCAGGCCCAGCAGGCTCCTAAGGGGCTTCCCGCTTCCACACCACGGACCCCTCCTCCCGGACTCGGGACGCGAGGGCAGGCGTGCGGGGGGAAGTGTGCCGGCCGGGGCGCTGCCCCTGACTGCAGAGCTGAGCTCAGCGCTCTCCGGACCCCTGCCGCGTTCCAGTGCGCGCAGGACCCGGGGTCGGCCCCCTCCACGGCCCCGCCCTCTGCCCTCGCCAGGCCCAGCCTCCCCGGAGGCGCCCCGCGGCCTCCTGCCCGCGTCCTGCTCTCCTCCCCGGGGAGGCCTTGCCTGACCGCCTGGCATCCCATCACTTCGCTGCTGTGAGACCCTCGGGCAGACCACACTGAAATCTGGTTGCTCATATTCTCTGGAAAAACCCCAAGATCTGGGATGGAGAGCCGTTCCTGGGGGTGGAGTGTGGGAGCGCCCACGGGGGCGGGAGGTTGGGGAACAGCCACCCTCCTGTGGCCACCGCCCCTCCCCTCCTTTCGCGCGCGTGGTCTCCTGGTTCCACCTTGTGACCCCCGCGCGGGGCTCGGGGCTTCCCCTCCGGCCCTGACCTGAGAAGCCTGCCCCTGCGCGGTGACCTCAGGGCAGCGCGCGAGCTCCGGGGGCGAGGGCACAGCTGCCTCCGCCGCAGAGCGAGGGCAACGGCAAGAGCCTCGCCCTGAAGGAAGAAACATGGGGGGCGGGGTCTCTTCCAGCCAGGAACGCAGGCACACGGCGACCCTCCACCTGTGGCACGGGACAGCCCGTGCCAGCCAGGAGCTTCAGGAGTCAGCGAGCATCTCCACGCTGGATGGGGCAGGTGGGTGCGCCTTCCCCTCCCTGGGAGGCCGGCGAGCAGCGCCCCCCGGGCTGCTGGAGCCCGCAGGGTCCAGAGCGCCCCTCCTCGGGTCTTCACCCTCCCTCTCGCCTTGTTCCCTCCTGACCGCACTCGCCCCTTCTCGCCACGCCCCAGGCTTGTAGACGAGGAAGCCCCTTCTCTCCTGCCCCCCGTGGCCCGGCTTCCTGGAAAGACTCCGGGTGGTGGTTTTGTCTGTACCCCACCTGCCTACCCCCCTTCCGCCTCTGCATCCCGGCCCCCACACATCGCTCCACCCGACGGCCCCCTTTCATGTCACCCGCGACCTCCAGGTCGCTGCTGCCCCCTCTGACTGCGCCTCTGGGCAGCACGGGACACCTCCCGGGTGCGGGGGAGTGCAGGGCCTCCAGTCTGCCCCCCCAGCCCCTTTCGGATGGACCCCTGCGGGGGCTCCGCCTCGGGCGCTGGTGGGTGGCCCCTCTTTGCAGGGTGCAGGCCACACAGAGCTGTCTCCCCACACCTGTAGCCCCCCCCCCGCCCAGTCTTCCTCCCGCCCGCACGCGGACACCCGCCCTCACACCAGCCCACCCCCGCCCCCCGCACCCGTCTTCCCCGGAGGCCGCACACGCACGTAGTCAGATAGATCCAAACGTTCTCTGCAGCTTCGGCAGCAACAAAAGTGCCTCCTCTCTTCAGAGTCCACGGCCACTTCTTCTGGGAAGCCTGGCCACATTTCTAAATAACGCACTAACGATGCAATCGCTTGCTCTTCCTTTGTAGGTCGGTGTCTATGGACATCCCACTTTGAAAGATGCACCTTTCCGTGTAGAACAAGTATTTACATAATTGGAAAAAAATTCCTCCCGCCTCCAGCTGCAAAGATATGCCTTAATTTATTTAACCAGGTACCTACTGATGAAGCTGTTTCTCATGTTTTGCTACTGCTAACAGGTCTGTGCATAAAACTTCATGTGTATGTGAGAGTTCTGCGAGATGCGTCCCTCGCAGTGGGCGAGCCGGTCCATCCATATGAACACGCGCAAAAGCAGGGTTCCAGCTGTGAGCACACGAGACACAGTTCTTCTGTGTCAACAAAGCTACTGTAACAATCATAACCTGCAGGCCTTTCCACCCAAACAACTGTGCGCCTGCTTTTGCCCACTCCTGTGTGTGTTAGGACTGATAGCTCGTGCCCCGGCAAACGTGTGCCAGTTTAAGTCCTCACCAGCCAAGGATAAAGGTGCCTGTTTCCCCACCACTCTACTTTAGCACAGAGACTCTTAGTTCCACCTTTCAGAAACACCCCGTTGAGGCTGGCTTGGGGGGAAGACCCTGTTGTCTCATTTAACGAGAGGTGCAATGTGGGGGCGTAGGGTTGGCTAGGGACCGACTTCCCAGGAGCGTGGGGAGATGCTCGGCACCTCAGAACTCAGGCGCCACACCCTCCACAACCGTGGTCCTCAGAATGTGTCCCTGTTTCTGGTCCCTTTGGGGTTACAGGAGAACGTACCAGAAAGCCATCTTCTCAGACGTGCCCCTGCATTGGCCGGGGCCGCACCCTGCCCGTTACGGCGCCTGGTTCTGGCCAGCGGCGTGGAAGGACATGCCGGCGCGGACCCATCGCGGCTCACCCCGCGGGAGGGACCGGGGTCCACAGGCAGGTGCCTGACCACTATGGGCCCCGAATGGGGTCCTCCTCCAAGCAGGGTCGGCCCACGATTCTGTGACGGAAACGTGCTGACAACAGTTTTTTGAACAACTGCCAATGTGATGGGCAAGGTCACTTGGTTGCTTTAGTTGACATTAAAAAAAACTCTTGGTGACATGAGACATCATTTCCTACATTGAGGAGGGCATCGGTATCGTGGAAACACTGCCTTTTGGAGCAGCTGGAAGATTTTTCTGTGTGGTTATGTTAGTAATTCGGATACCAAATTAATTTCATTCGTTTCAGTTTGCTTTGTGCTTCTGTTTGACCTAATTATGTTCAGCATCCACAGGGTCCCAAAGTTAAGACTACAAAGCAAGGTACAAATGGCTGTCTCGGTTCCTGTCACTTCACCCTGCCCCGCCTCCTTCCCCCAGCCTACTGTTTTATTTTTCCTTTTCCTTCATTTCTATTCTTATTTCCCCTTTTTGAATGAAAAAGGTAGCACCCCTAAACACTTTTCTGGGCCTTGCTTTCTTCTTCTTAATAAATATTAGCAATCCCGCCATAGTTTAACATACATCTTTTCTGAACAGAACTTTAATGCTCTACCCTGTGGATGAAGCACCTGTCACCTTGTGGGAAGCTTTGGTCTTTCACTGCTACACTCAGCGCTGCAAGGACAAGCCTTGTACACAAGTTATTCTGGACTTTGCCACTGGATCTAGAAGCACATTCCTGGGTAAAGGGCAAGTGTGTGTGCAGCTCTGCTAATAAGCACCACATTTCTCCGCAGAGGGGCTGGACCATCTTGCCCCTCCACCAGCTCCACTGAATTAAGGTGACTCTACCTCTCATTCCTGGAAGTTCCACCTGGCTCATTTTCAAATCCGCAGGGCAATGCATGCTTCCTTTTTTGCTTTGGATCCATTCACCCTTGTCTTTTACTCCTTTCAACAAAGTAAGTGCAAGTGTTTTTGTCCAACCCGACAATCCTGGAACTTTCTGGGCCTGATTCTGCCGTCGGCTGCCTCTGCTGGTTCCTGCTCACGGGCCTTGTGCACTTTTCGCTGCATGGAAGTCGTTGTTCTTGAGCCATCGTGGGTGGGCTCCTTGAGGCCTATGGCAAATGCCTTTCTTCCGGAAGACGTGCATCCATGCGCTTGCCCCACCAGGCACCGGAGAGGGCCACACGTCCGGGGACCCTCCGAAAACGGGAGGGCTTCTTCATTAAAATGTGACGCCGCGTGGGCAAGGGCACGCCAGTGCACAATCTGAATTTACATAAATGCCGGAGAAGCCTCTCCTAGTAATTACCCGCTCTCCCCAACTCTCCTGGCTTCAAACACCAAACGTGATTTTTTAAATTAAGACAATATGCATAAACAACCCTGGCTGGTGTGGCGCAGTGGATCGTGCGCCAGCCTGCAAGTCGAAAGGTTGCTGGTTTGGTTCCTGATCAGGGCACATGGATTGTGGGCCAGGTCCCCGGTGGGGGACGTTGGCAGAATGCAAAAGGCAACCGATTGATGTTTCTCTCCCTCCCTCCATCTCTCTCTAAAAATAAATGAAAACAAGTCTTTTAAAAAAGAAAATAGCATAAATACATACCTTTCCACTCTGGCCAGCTAGCTCAGCTGGTTAGAGCGTTGTCCATATACGCCAAGGTTGCGGGATTTGGTCCCTGGTCAGGGCCCATACAAGTATCAACCAATGAATGCATGAAAAAGTGGAACAGCAAACTGATGTTTCCTTCCCTCTAAAATTAATTATGCATGCACGCGCGCGCGCGCGCGCACACACACGCCCCTCCACGTTCTCTTGAACACTCAGCAGCTCTGGCAGCATCCACCGCGGTCAAGCCCAGGTACCCTCCCGGCCGGCAGAGTTCCCGGCTCCCCCTGGTGGCTAACTCCGGAAGCTTCACCCGTTGACATTACTAGCGTGGTCCCGAGGGACGTCAGAGTTTACACGTAACTTGGTCAGTCCTCTCCTGATGGCTACTCAAGCTGTTTCTGGATTTTCAGTATTTTTTAAAAAAAGATTTTATTTATTTCTTTTTTAGAGCGAGGGAAAGGAAGAGAGGGAGAGAAACATCAGTGCACGATATAGATACATAGATTGGTTGCTACTCCCAGGCTCCTAACTGGGGACCTGGCCAGCAACCGCAGGCAGGTGCCCTGACTGGGAATCAAACCAGCGACCTTTGGATTTGCAGGCTGGCGCTCAGTCCACTGAGCCCCACCAGCCAGGGAGTCGATTTTCCGTATTAAAAGGAAAAAAAAAATAGCGCACACGGCATTTCCACAAAGGGGTGTGTGTGAGTCTCCAGGAGAATCGGAGTATAACCTTGTCCGTAGCAGCATCACTCATAAAAGCCAGGCGGGTCCACACGTCCACCTACCAATGGATGGACAAACAAAATGTGGCACGTGCGTACACCAGAATCTTATTTGGCCATAGAAAGTAATGAAGTACTGACACACGCTACATGGATGAACCTTCAACACATCGGTGTACAACACGCGGCGCGCAGTGAAAGAAGCCAGGCACAAAAGACTGCGTATGGTATGATTGTGTGGAACAGCCGGAAGAGGCGAATCTGGAGCGACAGGAAGTGGACCAGGGGTTGCCGGGGCTGGGAGGAGAGGGGCAGTGGCCGTTCACAAGCGTGGGGTTTCTTTTTCGGATGATGAAACATTTTGAAGGAGACAGTGGTGATGGTCGCCCAATTGTGAATACACCGAAAACCACGGAATTGCACCCTGTACACGAGGAAGCAGGGTGTGCCAAGTCTCTCGACAGGGCTATTGCAGTCAGCCCTCTGCATTCGAAGTCCCACATGGAGATCAGAAGCAATTCTTGACCCCTGGTGGGCGGAGTCAGCAGATGTGCGGTCCACGCGTGCATCGTTCGGGGGTCCTGGAACCCGTCCCCCAGGCACCAGGGGACTGCATGTGAAACCACCGCTGTGGTTGCCCCAACACCCCTCGGCGTCCAGGGCTGCGGGGTTGGAGCCAGCTTGCCTTCTCCCTTCCGGGGCCTGAAGGACTCGCCTGCCCCGCTGCTGTCCCTGGGCCCTCACTCCATGGCATTTTCTGTTCTCCCAGCCTGACAGGCAGGTGGGGAAGTGGCAGCTCGCTTTACTTCCTATTTATTTCCCTGGTCACCAGTTTTGGAATCATTTCATACTTACTGGCCATTTGTATTTTCTCGTTTAGGAATTTTCTGTTCATGCCCTTCATCCATTTTGTTATTGGAATGTGTTTTGATTAACGTATAGGGTTTTAAAAAAAGATTCTATTTTTAGACAGAGGGGAGGGGAGGGAGGGAAACATCCATGTGTGCCTCTCACATGCCCCCCCCCGGGGACATGTGCCCTGACTGGGAATTGAACTGGTGACCCGCTGGTTCGCAGGTGGACAATTCAATCCACTGAGCCACACCAGCCAGGGCTAACCTGTAGTTTTTATACATTCTGTATAAATGCATTTTGTTTTGTATTTTGCAAATGTTTTCTCACAGATAAAGCTTTTAAATTTATTGACTGATTTGAGAGAAACACTGATTTGTCGCTCCGCTTCTTTATGTATTATCAGTTGCTTCTTGTATGTGCCCTGACCGGGGATCAAACCCGGAACCTCGGCGGATTGGGACGGTGCCCAACCAAGTGACCTGGCCTCTCATGGACCAGCCTGTTCTGCAAAATGCTGAGCAAGCATTAGTAGGTTCTTAAAAACACACTCCACAATGTCCACACAACTGTTTAGAAAAATTTTATTTGAACGTGTGAAAGAAAAACGTGGAGACCCCAGTGAGGCAGAGGAGCCCCTTTCCTTGCGGGTTCCCGCGCGGAGCCAGGTGCCGGCCTGAGCCTGGGGCCACAGGGCTCGGTGCGGAGCTCTCGGGGTCCTCGGGCGGCCTGTGTTCATGGCAGGACACACCCCGCTCACGGGGAAAGAAGCCAGGCACGTGGGCGTGCAAGTGCTGCGCCGCACCCCCGCGTCCCGGCAGCACAGGCTCGGAGCGTGTGCGTCTGAAATGACACGCGGGGCGGCGGGGTCACGGATCGGCATCTTTTAAAGATGCTGGCGTCGCTCTGCACAGCGCCGGACCCTTCTCCTTCTGTCTGTCCCATCTGGACTCTTACGAATGCGGCCGGGCAGGCGGCACCTGGTCGGCGACGTCACAGAACTTCTGCCCCACGACAGTGCTGCTGGTGAGGTGGGGCTGCTGGCCGCCTCCCGAGGGTCCTCCTCCGCCCGGCGCAGAAGGCACAGTGCCACTCGGTGGTCGGTGGGGCCGGCCTAGCGGATAGGCCTGAACGGGAATGTCATGCCCGAGAGGAAGGTGTGCCCGGGGTGTGCGGGCAGCGCGGGGTGGGCGGCCGGGTGGGCAGGCACGGCCCCATAGCCCAGCGGGGGCGTGTGGATGTGAGGGTAGAAGCCGGGGGGCAGCGCCGCGTGGGGCGGCTGCTGCACGGGGCCCGAGATCACCAGCTGCAGCAGGCTGCGGACACAAGGAGGGGGGTCAGGGCCCGGCAGCGCCGGCCGGCCGACGCGCGGCCGACGCGCGGCCTCGGCTGCCCTGTCCCCCGCACTTGGCGCCGTGCAGGACACAGGATGGCAGGCCGGGCGCGTGAGACCCTCGCACGCGCCGAGAGAGGCCCCGGGTGCAGGCACAGAACACGCGGTTTCCAGGCGGGGAGCCCAAGAGTGGAGAGGAGGGGGTGGCTATGGCCAGGGAGGAGCAGGATGAGGGGACAGGGTTTGGGCTGGGACGGGCAGAGGAGAGAGAAGGGGCCGGCCATGGGGGCAGCCAGGGCCCTGTAGGTGACTAGGTGGCAAGGCGACAGTGCAGAGGCAGGGACCTGAGGACCTGCAGGTGCCCTGAGGGTGGCAGAGGCAGGGCTGCAGGCCGGGGTCGGGGGCGGCTGGGTCCCCAGCAGCAGCCCTAGCACCTGGGCTGGAGGCGGTCGGCGTCCGCTTTCCGCTTTGGCCTCAACTGTCCACGCTCAGGACGGGCTGACTGAGGCCCCACGGGGAGCGGCCGGCGGCCAGTTCTCTCCAAGTCGTTCCTAACGATGGTCCTGCCTGATCTTGGCCAAACCGCCCAGAAGCTGGCTCCCTGACATCCAGCGTCCTGGACAGGCCTGGGCCTGGCCTGACCCACTTTCAGGGGCCCATGACCTTCAACTCCTGCCCGAGGAGCCTCCGACCCTGCGACCCCCCAGCCACCTGCCCCTTCACTGCTGGGGGACAGGCTCTCAGACCTCAGGGGCAGCCCTTCCCACCTGCACCCAGCCCCGCTTCCCGCTTCCCAGGCGCCCGGGGTCTCTTACCCATCTGCCCTGCCCCCGCCACTCCCTTCCACCCTCCGTGACCCCCAAGCGCGAGGGCAGAGCACCCCCCTCAGGTGCAGACGGCAGTACCTTCCGCCCCCTGGAATCCGCTGCCCTCCTGCCCTCAAGTTGCCTCCAGTGTGGGGCCTCCTGAGGCTCCCTGAAGGGGTCTCGTCCTTTGCGACTCCTCTCCCCGTCCAGCGGAGCAGCAGAGCGCCTCACCCTCAGCCCCTCCCTGCTGCAGACAGGCCGGACGCCCTCAGCTGCAAGGCCTCCTCAGGCCCCTCCCAGCCCGCCGCCCTCCTAGGACGGCCCAGGGCCCCGGCTCCCTGGCTGTGCCCGTGTCCCCTGGCTGAGCCCGGCTCTCCAGGCGCCTGTTCCCAGTGGCCGTCCCATTCACACCCATCATGCGCCGAAGCTTCCTTGTCCCCCGGCACTGTCCCTGCTGCTGCCCTGCTCGCCCCGCGACAGCCCCCTCCCCGACCGCATCGCCTTGGCGGGCTGAGCACTGCGGCCTGCCCGGCAGGTGCCCAGGCCGGTGCCCGGGGGCGGAGAGCCGGGGCCTGAAGCTCTTCTGGGCCCCTTTTCAATTTATGTGGCTTTTTCATGACTGGGTAAGAAATGCGATCAAAATAAGCAGACAAGGAAATACATCTGAGGGGGGAGTATCATTGAGGTAAAACTCAGGTCGTGTGTTTGTGTGAACCTGCACCTCCCGCCAGAGACACAAGAGGCTTCAAGAAGTCTCCAGTCTCGCTGGAAAGGCAGTAACACAACAGGGACATTTAGAAAGCGGAGACTCTCCCCAGGGACTGGCCTCTCTCCTTGCCACTGGGGCCGCGGCCGCAAGGCTGGGCTCTGGGCCGGCGCGGCGGGGCGGGGGGTGGCCACGGCTGGGGAGCGGGTCCGGAGGGGACCCTGTCCGGAGGGGACCCCGTTACGACACTGAGTTGGTAAAGGGCTTATACCCTACCATTGTTTTAGTGTCCTGAAAACACTAGGCCTTTTTTTTTTTTAAAGCTGTGCACAGAGAAGGGAAATATCACAAAGGGATCATTTCAAGAAAGGTAAAAGGTCCTAATTTGTATCAGTAATGTCCTCAGATGCCAGGGAACTTTTTTGGAGCCAGAAAAAAGGACCAGTGTGGGTCCTGAGGGAGGGACAGCCCTCCGGACAGGCTGCCCGCGCCGCAGGCAGAACCCCAAACGGGGCCGTTCCGCCCCCCCGGGAACCGCCGAGCCGCGCCTCACGCACCTCCACGTCCCCCAGACACTCCGCAGCCTCCCCAGCACAGCGGGCCTGCCGGCCCCCAGCCGCACACGAGGACGTGGGTCCCCGGCTGCAGCTGTCTCACTGGCAGCCATGAATGAGCACCTGGCTGGCCCCTTGGCCTCAGAACATGCATATTCCTGTGTCAGCCTGCCGGCCCTGGCCGCACACGGCCCTGGCCTGGAAACTGCTGCCCCGCCCCCCCGCCCCGGTCTACGCTGCCGGCGGACGCCAGCCCTGGAGCCCTACCGCCCCGTTACAGACCAGGGCGACCCTCAGAGAAACGGAGGCCGCCCGGCCTGCCTGGGCTCTTTCATTTCTGCAAACTCTGCAGGAGCGCACTACAGGGAGCCTGGAGCCTTCCATCACCAGCCTGTCAGCAGGGGCAAGGATGGCTTTTGGAGGATACAATGTTCCTCCCTGGTTGCCACTAGAACTTACTAACACTTCCACAGCCAGCTGCCTGGTGCCTAGATACAATGTTCCGTTCTGATGTAACTCTACAAACAGTGCTCCCCCCCCATAGTTAGGTTGCTTCCTGGTTTTTGCTGATAGTGCTGTATTTGCATGAAATATTTTTTGTGCGCAGAGATTTGTGCTTCTTAGAGTCAGTAAAACTCATTAGATTAAGTAGAACCCCTCAATTATAGAACTCAGAGTAAAGGGACTTACTGCTTGGGCGCTTATTGCACAAGTGCTGCTCTGAGCGCTTCTGTTCGCTCGAACTGCACTCCTGGGCGGGATGGGGGAGGAGGAGGGCGGACCTGCGCCCTCACCGTTATTTTCTTGGTGTCACAGAGAGAAGGAGGCCCTGGGAGGCGAGGAACTTGCCTAAGGTCACAGCCATAGGAAGGAGCAAGGCTGGGCGTCCTCCCAGAAGCGGTGTGGCCGCGTCCCTGCTTTTCACCGCCACTCACTGCTTCCCCCGCAGCCAGTGACGGAGAGTCCCAGACGCCACAGACGAGGCTAAGGGATGCTCGGGGGTCTCCCCATTCAGCCCTCTCTACAACCCCCGGAGGCAGGCGAATCAGTGCCCCTGGTCACACCGGGGTCAGCTGAGGCTCAGCCAGCCAGGCGGCCAACGCCTCGCGGCAAGACACGGACAGGCGGCACTCAGACCGGCTCCGTGCCTCCCAAGGCCAAGGCGCTGGCCGGACGCCACGCTGCGCCCTCGGGCTGTGGCTCTGCAGTGTTTCCCGAAGGGCTGCACAACTCACAGCGTCACTAACACTGTGCAACGGCGCCACCACATGACCTCCGTGTGCACAAGCACAGAGGGGGTGGCACTCGAAGCTGATTCTGGTTTCTTCCCTTGACTCCAGCACGACGACCGCCTTTTTCTCCCTGATTTGCTCTTTGCTTGGCCTTCCTCTCATCCTCTCTGCCCCCACCTACCATCAGTCCTTGAGGCGCTCCATGTATACAGAATCTCTAGACCAGGACAGGGGGTTCACCCCGCCATGCACCCCCACCCCCAGAAGTCTTGAGAGGGCACTTACTTATTATGGGGCAGCCTGGAGCACAAGGTCCTCAGGTCATCTGAAATCAAGGAGATACATACATAGTTAAGGAACAGGAGAAAACAGGGTGAAATGTTCACCCACATTCTTTCAAGGGCTTTGGTGAGAGAGTAAATAATTGCCTGATGCTAGTTTTCCTGCCATCTTTTAGAAACCGTATTCTTTTTCTTCAAGTTTGCTTTCACAAACTAGGCCCCAAATACAACGTATCACTTAGGGAAGGGGCAGCTCTCCGGGCGATTGGCCAGAAGCCGGGGAAGGGCCCCAAGGCAGGGCTCCCAGGGAGCAGGTCAGATGGCATTATCACAAGGCATTAAGCGCAGTGATAAGAGGGAGACCCATCCCCAGAGACCACAGCTTGGGGCCACAGGCAGCTTCTGGGAGCTAAGGTTAAAGGGCAAACACAAAGGTGTATCACTAGCAGGAGCTCATTCTCCTGGGAGCGTTAGCGTTCAAGCCTAAAATGCAGGAGAATTAAGGAACCTTCAAAAGAGGTGATGGGAATGATTTCTGCATTTAAACCTATGCATTTTACTGCACGTAAATCACGCCTCAATAAAAAGGGACTGCAGGAAAAGAAGAGAAGAATCCCTAAGAGCACAGATATTCCGCTCTGGCTCTGAGGAGTCCCCGCCCTGGCACCAGTGGCCAGGAGGCACAAGGACCCCGCGGTCCCAGGGCTCTGCCTCGGCACGTCCTGAGACTGCCCCCCCCGCCCCGCCCTGTGCTCACGGAGAGGCAACCCTAGAACAGGCAGGAAACCGTATCTGCCCGGGAGCCCCCCTTCCTTTGGGACGGACGGCGGCGCCCAGCCCAGGAGGGCCCGGCAGGATGTCGCCCACCTCTCGTGCACAGCAGCGCGCCCGAGGCCATGGCCACCTGCAGCGCCTGCGCGAGGCGGTCCAGGGAGAGCTCGATCTCCTGGGAGGCGTTGAGGGGGTTCAGTTCGTCCGCCAGCCGGTTGATCTCCTCCACCAGCGGGACCATGTGGTCAAACAGGATCAGCCCCAGGCGCCCGTAGAGGTTCTTCTCGGTGAGGTGCGCCTGGAGCACCATGAGCACCTGCAGGACGCTGAGGTGGAGCTTGGAGTACAACAGGTGTGCGTCCCTGTCCGGCCCCGCCGAGTCCGGGGCTGCTTTGGGGGCCACGTGGCCGTTGGACAAGGAGGGCTTCCGCTTCCTTTTGTAAGCCAGGGGGGCCTTCACACACCAGCGGATCAACCCGGTGAGCGGGGCGAGCTCTAAAAACCCTATTGGCAGATTGGCTGCGATGGGGGTGTTTAAAAAAGTGATGAGAATCAACCTCGAGTCCTCAAAAATCCAGGCGACGATCGTCTCCAGCAAGTCCAGCGGCGGGACGAGGTCGTCTGCAAAGACACCGGAGTCAGGAGGGGCCCCGGCCCCAGTGCCGGGGTGGGCGGAGGGGAGAGGGGCCCCGGTTCCCCGCACGTACCCCCCGCCACGCACACCCTCTGCCTCTTCGCTCATCTGCTTTCCGCCTCCTTCCCCAGAGCACCAGTCCGGGAGGGCGGGCACTCCCGCCCCCCTCGGGCCGCGTCTGGCCAAGGGGGGGCCCGTGAAACACTTCACCCAACCGTCCCTAGAAACCCACTACTCCTCGCATAACATCTATCCTATGTGTCATTTTAAATACAATGCCACGCTTTCTACGTCCAGAACTACACCGCACCGTGTCCCTTCCCTGGTGAGTGGGCCTCACCCCTGCGCTGGGTGTCCCCTCCAGGGGGTTCAGCAGTGACCTGTCTGCTGCCAGGCCCCACCCCGTCCTGCCCCGCCCCACACCAGGGACTCTTGTCTAACCGAGAGCCTGGCTTTCCTGGCTTTCCGGGCAAGTCCTACAGCCCAGGCAGAGAGCAACAATGATAAAAACAAGTAAGAACATTCATTTTGGGCTTACTATGCCCCAGGCACCGGTCTCCTTCCTTTACAGATTCACACGTTTTACCCCAAACAACAGCAGAAGACACTGAGGCGCCAGTATCTTAAGTAGCTTCCCTGAGACTCATCAGATCTGCGGCCGGCCCAGTGCTGCCCCCTGGTGGCCTGGCTCTTACACACAAGACCGTGCGCGGGAGTGGGGTCTGGGCCCCCTTCTCTGGGGCTGTGCATCCCTCGCTCATAAGGGAGGCTCGGCCAGGGCCAAGTATGACCAAGGAGCATGGGGTGAGACACACATCGCTGAAAGGTTCGTGAGGGCTCTTTCTCAGAAGACACTGGCCTTTCCCCGAGATTTTGTCTACTGTCTGGGTCTTAACCCCTCCCCCCACCCCACCCGGCCTTCTGCTATGAAGTGACTGCCAACAGCAGGAAGTGCTGTCTGTGATCCTATGTGACAACGTAGACAGTGGCGACCCTGGGGCCAGCCCCCGATCCCCTGAGACACGCCTGTCTGGGAGATGCTGTTCTCTCACCTGCCCCTCTGGCATGTTCCCCCGCCACCAAGCCTGAGCTGAGGCGTCTCTAAGAGCCCGAAGGCAGGGTGTGTGTGCCTGCCCTGTGTGCGCACACGTGAGTGTGTGCCTGAGAGTGAGCAATCCCTGCGGCCCCTCTACTCAGAGACCCGAGCTCTCTGCACCATTCGGGCACAGGGGGTCCCGCTGGGCTCGGGGAGCTGCTTCCTCTGCGCCGTTTCGAAGGCACAGCCTCCCCAGGAACGCCCTCCTGCCACCAGAAGCTCCAAAAGCAGCAGCATCACCACCCTTGGAGCGGACGCCAGGGCCAGCCCGCCAGGGCGGCCACCGTAGGCCCGTTCCTCTGAACTCATCAGGCGGTTACAGTGAACCTGTGCCGCGTGCCGCATGCCAACGCGCCTCAGTAAAGTGGCTTCAGAGAAATCACCGACAGCCCAGGACAGCCCAGGCCGGTGAGGCTCAGCTGGTGGGAGCTCATCCTGTGGACCGAAAGGTCGGGGGTTCAATTCCCAATCAGGGCACATACCCAGGTTGCGGGTTTGATCCCTGGTCAGGGTGCGTAGGAGAGGCAACCAATTGATGTTTCTCTCCCCCCCCCACTGCCCTTTCTCTCTCTCTCTCTAAAAGCAATGAAAAAAATGTCCTCGGGTGAGGATTAAAAAAAGAGAAAAATCACTGACACATTAGACCAGCAAACCAACTTGAGAGAAAAATGCCATGTCCCACGTCCATTCTAGAAAGTTGGCGGTATCTCTGAACGTTACTTCTTTTTCCATCTGTTAATGACCCCATTCTCAATGTGAAGGCCCATTTCTGTCTTTGCCGACCTAGAATAATAGGTGAAGCCTGAAAAGGCAGCTGTGATGCTGTGAACTAGGTTTAATTAAGTTTCTCCTGTTGGAAGACAAAAGGCCTAACTACGGCTCCCAGCTATTCACAGCTCTCAGAAGCCTCAGCAGAGTGGGGGCAACTCCACCCCCCAGCGGTCGCCGGCCCCCCGCCCCACGGAAAACACCATGGGAGGAAAAGTCTCAAACCCATGTGTGAGCACGAGAGGCACCTGAATGTTCACGCTGTGTCCACACTAACTTTCTCAAGAGAACTAAAAAGTCGAACAGCAAGAAAAGAAGTCACAAAGTAAAGGGCACTCAATCCCTGGCCAGGCGGCCCAGCCGGAGACAGTCGTCCCGATACACCGGGGCTGCAGGCGTGATCCCTCTCCGGGGCACGTACAAGAATCGACCAATGAACGCATCAACAAGTGGAACAACGCATCGATATTTCTCTTTCTCTCTCCCTCTCTAGAATCAATTTTAAAATAAAGAAATTAAAAAACATATGGCAGGGGGATCAACTCTAATCAGGATGCTGGTGGGAGGCCAATGCCGGACTGAACAAAAAAGTGGGAAATGCTGTCAAAGACTTTCAAGCTGCTGGGTGAGCTCCCAGATGAGGCTCAGACAGGGACCGTCTGCCAGCCTCCGGGCGGCAAGAGCCGCGGGCAGAGCAGGAACCTGTAACAGGAAAGTGCGCTGTGGGCAGCTCTGCGGAGAAAGCTGCGCACCCGGCCAGGCCCCTAAGCACCGCATGCGGGAAACAAGGGCCCCCGCCCCCTTTAGGCCAGAGCTGGGCAGCTGCTGCTGGTTTCTTCACTGGGAGTTTGCATCAAATGACCTGACCAGGGGCTCTGCGGCTGGACAGGGACAAGGACTCTCCCAGCCAAAGTCGAATGCCACCTAATGGCTACCGGAGAACCCTCCTGGCATCTTGCTAAGGAATCTCAAAGAGGTCACTGAGCAGTTCCGCAGCACACGCTGCCTCAGCGCAAGGCACTGAGGATGCACATCCACCAAGGGGGTATTGCTGCCCAAGGGGTTTCACTGGAACCTTTACATAAAGAAACGATCAGAGAGATCCAAATCGAGGGACATTCTGCACAACAAGCCTGAGCTCTTCAAAAAGTCAATGTCATGAGACATATTTTTAAATGCTGGGAACTCATCCAGACGTAAAGAACAAAGAGAAGCAACCGCTCTGTACAATGTACAATCCCGGACCTGGATCCCGAATTCCCCTGATCCCTGAGAGGGGATGGGGGCTGTCAAAGGCAGAACTGAGGCAATCAGGGAAATCTGAGTGTAGGCTACATGTAAGATAATAAATAGTCTTCTCACAATTTTTAATTTCTTAGGTGTGATGATAATAACATGGTTACGTAAAGGAATGGTTTTGTTCTTAGGAAATATAGACTTAAGTCCTTGATATTGGCAACAAACTCAAAAGTTCAGGAAAAAAATATTTGTGGGTATGTGTGGGCGGAAAGGAAAGAAGGGAGAGAAAGGGCATGCATGTCAGAAATTGGTGAATCTAGCTGAGCTATACGGGTGTTTGTTGTAATATTCTTGCAACCTTCCTGAAGTTTAACAATTTCTAATATAAGAAGCGAGGGATAAAAAACAACTGAAGTCTATGGAGAAATCCATGTCTCTCCCAGACACCACACTATTGCTTTTGGGCTGTCTGCCACCTGGACCATCCTGAACCAGGCCACTGGGAATCGCTAAGGAAATGCCCTGTTAGCAAATCCCAGAAATCCAGGTGGCCCATTTCTTTAGCTTTTAGCCTAAAATACAACACAAAGTTTCAGAGAAAAAAGGCCAAAACACTGAAACATTTGCTAGACGTATCACCGGGTGTTAGAGGAAATCCACCTGGCAATCAGCTGAAGCTTCTCTACCTGGCAACAACCTGCTTGGCGTTTACCTGAGGACAAGTCGTAAAGCGCGGTGACGGAAGTGATGAACTGGCAGCAGAAGCGGGGGCTGGCGCTGAGTATCTGCTTCAGCGTCTGCACCGAGCCCGGCACCAGGCAGCAGTAGTCGTCCACGAGGGCCCTGGCCAGCCTCACACAGTAGACCGCAGGCGTCCGCTGCAAAGAAGCCACAGTGCACGTCACTACAGGTGTCACGGGCTCATGGATGAGCAGCTATGCATACCTGGTAAAGACTGCCAGCGGCGCGGAACCCCTCCAGGAGGGGGAAGGGCATCCGCAGCTTCCTCTGAAGCCGGGGCTGGCAAACTCAAGCCCGCAGGCCAAATCCAACCCACCACCCAGTTCTGTGAATGCGGTTTTACTGAATCAGCCCTGTTCACTCGCTTGACTGTTGTCTAAGGCCGTTAGTGCATCACTAGAGCTGAGCTGAGTAGTTGTGACAGATACGCTAGGACAAACGAAGCCTAAAATACCTACTGCCTTATAACTCATTATATAATTTCCTGTGCTGCACTGAGGCAGGTAAGATGCCTGCCAATGCTTGCGTTGAAATTTACTTAGGAAAGATCATTTCCTAAGTAAATGATCTTTACAACTTCTGCAACCCTATAGTAGAGACTCCAACGGTAAAAATTAACAGCTGCTACAATTTAAAAGAGCTTTAGGAGAGTTTGTGAATTGTCACGAGGTTAAGAGCAGTACCCTCTCCATTGCTCTTACAGCTCTATCCTCTTACAGGGGTGTCTAATGTTTTGGCATCTCTGGGCCACACTGGAAAAAGAAGAGTTGTCTTGGGCCACACATTAAATACATTGCGACATGTAATCACAAAAGATCTCATAATGTTTTAATCAAATCTATGATTTTGTGTTGGGCCGCCTTCACCGCCACCCTGGGCTGCGTGCGACCCGCGGGCTGCAGGCGGGACACCCCTGCGCCTAACAGGTTTCCAGGACCCTTTCAGGTCCTACATCACCGCCTTCCCCGGCCTTTTTCCTTCTCACTCAGGCGCTGATCTGTAACTACTGCCGCGTTCAGCAGCCACTCAGGACACTACAGATCCAAGGTCCAAAAGTGGCCTCCAGGGGAAACTGCAGGAGGCAGCAGGCTGGGCTGCCCGCTCGCGCTGACCTCTGCCTGCAGCACCCGAGCAGCCAGGGCTGCTTTCCCCAGGGCGGGGGGGCAGGGGGAGGGTGATGCGGGCGCAGCTGCAGCCTCTGGCCCCGTGCGGCAGACCCTGACCCGAACCGCTAAGGCCCTGTCCTGCTGTTCACATCTTCTCTCATTTTGCCAAGATACCAGCACAGTGCAGCACGGGAAATTATATAATGAGTTATAAGACGCCTCACCAGGCTGTCAAGGGACACAGGTAATCCTGAGGTTAAATACAACCCACATGATCACTGCAGGTGCCCCAGAAATCCTACAGGTGAGAATGAAGGCACATTCCACTGAGATTTACCTGTATGCTACAGAGAAAAAAGCGCATCATTTTGCTAGCCAAATGTTAAGGATAAATAAGATTACAAAAAAAAAAAACCCCAACCAAAACCCATTTAAATAAGTTGGGAAAAAAAAAAAAAACCCAAACGGTTCTGAGACCTTGGGAACAAACAGGTTTGTGAAACCAAATGCACTAAATTTGGTGAGCGGAACTGAGGACTGTTATCAAAATTTTTCATTAATAATTACTCTAAATGGATTAGCAATTTTTTGAAGGCTTTGTTTGGGTAACAAAAAAGCAAAACAAAATCAATCTTCTAAAACATCACCTAACACAGTATCTGCTGTCAATATACATGTTTCTTTGATATTTAAAAACATCCTGGAAAGCTTTTATGTCCCTCTCCATCGTAACAGCCAGCCACTTGGTAACATTACCCTGGAACAGCGCAAAACCACCTGCACGCTAACTGACCTGGCCGTCTAGAAAACAAGAAAACATGCCACAATCTGACATATAATGCCCTTTAAAAAAAAAAAAATCCTATATTTGAGGCTGCACGCATAGTTGTTTTCAAAATCCTACCTGTCATTTTCAACTTATTCTAAAGATGGAGTCTTTCCTTTTTCCTTTTTAAAAATTAATCTACCATTAGAAACTACTGTTTTCTCAAGAATGGCCGTCACCTGGTATAAATACAGGTCTGGGGCATCAGAATACAGTAACATCAAGGAGGTAACACCTGGAAAAGGCCACTCAAGAAAGCCAATTACTTGAAAATTCCTGACCCTGAGCTCCTCTTCAGAGACTCTCCGGGGAAGGCTACTTCTAGAGAGGTACCTGGAGCCAGGAAGCCGCACACTCCAGCACGGGGATCCGACACACAGCCACGGCCATGGAGACCAGTTTTCCCAGCAAGCTCATCCGGCTGTCATCGGCTTTGTTCCCTTGGGGGCTGAAAAGGGATGAGAACATAATCTGCCGGACAGAGTCCTTGGTTTGCTCCTGGAAATAATTGCACATGATTTCAAGAAGCTGGAGCTCCTGAAGTGAATTCAATCTCTATAAAACAAATCCAGGAGAAGGGATGAAAAATTTAGTTTTAACGTGCATATTAATTCATATAGCAAGAAATCAGAAAATATGCTCTTTTCCCCAGGGAACTTCCGCCCCTGGCCCCGCCCCCCACCCCCACCCCAAAGTCCAGGTACCAGGGAGTAGGTCTCTACTATTAATCCCAAGAAAAGTCACTACACTTCATTATGCGTCATCCCGGGGGCGGGGGGTGGGGTGGTGCAGAATGACCAACAGAAGTTTGAGAGTCTCGGTAACAGGCCTTTAAAGTCTCCTCCTTTTAACACCATTGGAGTATGGTTGTCACTCGCCCCACAAAACAGGCACACAGCTGAGCAACGCTCAGGACTCCAGAGGTCTGGTCTGCAGCCGAAGGAGCAAGGCCAAGGGCGAGAACACAGCCCGCATAGGAAGGGCATTTGTGGTCTGGCTAGCACCTGTCACCGAGACGGGGGTAAAGAGCAGGAGTGTGCGGCCCCAGCCGCGGTCACCCGCCAGCCGCTCTGCGCGTCGCACCTTGGGCTGCGCGCCGCGCTCCTTGGGCACCTGGTACACGAACTCTTCCACCAGCTCCACCGGCCCCTTGTCCACGATGGGCAGCGGCGCGCTCTGCAGCTGGCTGCTGAAGTAGATGTCCAGGTGGTACAGCACCTCCTTGGCCGCGCTCAGCGCGTCGCGGCGCAGCAGCGAGTGGCGGATGTCGCTCATGGTGCGGCCCGGGGCACCGGCAGCCCGGCGGGACTTCCGCCCCGAGCCCCGGGGACGCGCCTGCCGCCCTGGAGACAAAGAGGCCGCGACCCGGGCTCCGCCCGCCGAGGCCGGCCTGGGCCGCGGCGCCCGCCCGCCCGCCACTCCCCTCCCGGGCCCGCTCAGGGGGCCATCTCCGCCGCCGGCCAGCGGAAAACCCAGGTGTGCGACTGCGGCGCCACGGAAAGCCGCCGGAGCCCGACGCCGCGGAGCCAAACGGCGGGGGAAAGCAAGCGCGGCGACGGCGGCCCGCAGGGGTCAAGCATAGTCCGCGGCGAGCGCCCGCTCTCGGGAGGGCGCCCCCTGGCGGCTCGGTCCGCGGGCGCGGAAGGGCAACGCGGCGGCCAGAGGCACGCCCCGCCCCCGCGCCGCGAGCCCGCCTTCGCTCCGCGGGCCGGGCCGCCCAGCCTTGGAGCCAGCGCACCAGTGAGCGCTCATTGGTCCTGCGCTCCCCGCCCCAGCCCTGGCCGACGCTCCCGTGGCCGGCGCTCCAAGCCTACACGTGGGCTTTCCCACCGGTAAAGACCAAGTGGTGGCGCAGGCTCAGGCCTCAGCATCTCACCTTGAAGATGGTATCTAGTCTGAACTCAAGGGGCTGCGACGACAAAGGACACCTCCCCTACCCGACTCCCAGTCCTGCCCCCAGAGTCCCTATACCCCAATCCCTTCAGAGCGGCTTGGGAAGGCCTCGGGATCGTAGCTGTCCTGCTCCTAAAGGCTCTCCCACCCTAAAAACCGTCAGCAATTGCTATGCATCTCTCTTCCAGCATTCATCTCTCTGCACCGAATTAAGTAGGCTTAGTTTGAAATTTTAAAAATAGGACAGAAAAGACGAATATGGCCACAAGAGGTCAGTGGAGTGCAGGCAAGAGGCCACGGCACAGAAATGTGCCTTGTGTAGAAGGCCCATGCAGACCCCGAGAGCTGGCCTGGGTGAGGATGCTGTGTATGGTTAAGGAGATGGGGCGGAGGGGAAATATCAAAAAACAAAAATGCAAGGCCTTTCCTGGGGAGAGATGGGAGGGGCATCAAGAAGTCACAGCTAGGCACAACTCCAAGGTGCTGAGACCCTCTTGCACACCAGGGGACACAGCCATGAGGCCCCTCCCTGTCCAGCAGATCAGTCTAGAGCGGGAGACCAAGGTCAGCTGGAACCTTTAACAAGTCACCAGACTTCAGAGAAGCTCCATTCCAACGGCTGAGTAAACAGAAGATGTGCAAGGGAGATTTCTATTAGGGTGAACCCCACTCTTCACTTCCCTTCCTTAACCACTGAACACCAATTTATAAACACAGAACAGAAAACAAAAACAAAAACATTGCTTAGAAAGTATCCATATGCATAAATATATGTACACTATATTTAAAAGGCAGTAACACTCTTCCTGTCCTCATTTCTTCTTTTTCTCATCCTGTGCAGCAGCAGGTACAAAGATCTCTCCCAGGTTGCTCCAAAGCCCGTGGGAGTGCATGTTCTGGTAGACCTCGGGCTCTGCTGACGGGGCCCCCGCCGCACGGGAGCAACGCTGGTGCCGGGCCCGGTCACCTCTGTACCACTCGTTCGTAGTCTGGTTGGTGGCGGCCAGGTAGAGAGTAAAGCACAGAAGGCCTCCCAGGAGGAAGCTCAGCACCAAGACAAAGCCCAGCAAGAAGACAATCCTTGGGAAGGTCAGGAACAGGTACTGGGGACAGAGAAGAAGCAGCAGATTAGGCAGCCGGGCTCTAACGTGAATAAGGATCAGCACCCACCAGCCCTGGTCTTGCCTGCGACACCGTAAGAGCCGCTCCTGCTCACCCACCTGCACGCACATCTGACCCACTGAACACAAATCGGAACCACACACAGCACCGACCGACAGCCCAGGAAGATACCCCAGTGTACACAGAGTTTCACATGGGATAAACGCAGTGTGTACACTGGAGGAAAAGGGAAAGGACACTCCGGAGATGGTGCTATGCAGTTAGCTCCTTATAAAATAAACAAAGAAATAAATGCAGATCTTAGCTTGTGCAGTGAAATACAGTCCAGATGGACAGAAGAGATCTATTTCTCTTTCAAAATAAAATGACCACAGAGATACAGGTACAAGTGTCCTCACTGTACAGTGGCACTGATTTTAACTCCTCTTCCCAAAATACGCAAGTTAAATGTCCACCCATGAGGAAGAGTAAAACCTAGGCAGTCTTAACTATGGAATAATTAGGAGCCATTCAAATGAGGTCAATTTCTATGTACTAATTTGGAAAAGCTGTTGGTGATGTATTGCTCAGTGAGAAAGAGAAGATGCAAGGATCACAAAAGGGCTCTCCCGGTGCAGACACAAAAACGACCCTATGGCCACATACGGCAATGTGAACACACACAGGGAGAAAGCCTGAAAGAGACACACCAAGACACCAAAACAGCTGCCTCTGGGAATGGAAAGTGTTGGGGAGGAGGGGTATGAGTTTTCATCTCATTTTATTTTCATGATGTTTTAAATTTTCTTTCCTTCCTCCCACCTTTGCAATATAAACTGACATTAACATTGTGAAAGTTTAAAGTGCACAACAGTAATGCAAAATACAACGAATGTGTATACTGAAATGGTTATCACAATGAGGTTAGTTAACATATCTAGCACCTCACAGCTACAATCCTTCTTTGTGGTGAGAACTTTTAAGAGCCAGGCTCGTAGCAGCCTTCCAATGCACAACACGGCAGAGTCAGCACGCTGTGCGGCACATCCCCAGCGTGGCGCCGTCAGCGGGCTGGGAGTCTGTGCCCTTTGACCACCTTGACTTATTCCCAGCCCCCCACCCTTTTCATTTAGACACCTCTGACTGGCTGAACTGTTGTAAGTTATTTTTTATAATAAACAAAATAAAGAATTATAAAAGTTCAGTATTTTTGAAAGTATGAAAAAAAGAGAAGCAAATGATTATCAAAACTCTTGATAGGGTTCTTGGTGTGGCTCAGTTGGTTGGGCATCGCCCCACAAAGTGAAAGGTCGCTGGTTCGATTCCCAGTCAGGGCACATGCCTGGGTTGCAGGTTCAGTCCCCAGTTGGGGTGTGTACAAGAGGTGACCAATTGATATTTCTCACCTTTCCATTGACCCTCCCTTCCTCTCTCTCTCTAAAAAATAAATAAAATCTTAAAAAAAAAAAACAAACCCTCTTGATAGGAAGACTTTCTAATTAAAGTTACAAAGTTACAAAGAAAACAGGCAGATTTGAGGATGAATATTTAAACTTTTTATATAAAAATATACACAAATAGAAAACAAGTACAATAAGAAGGAACTATCATTATTATGTAAAGAACTCAAATCAAAACTTATTCTAGTCCTGGCTGGTGTGGCTCAGTGTACTGAGCACTGGCCTGCAAACCAACATGTCACTGGCTTAGTTACTGGTCAGGGCACAGGCCTGGGTTGCTGGCCAGGTCCCGGCTGAGGATGTGCAAGGGGCGACCAATCAATGTGTCTCTCGCACATCGATGTTTCTCTCCCTTTCTCCCTCCCTTCCCATCTCTCTAAAATAAATAAAGTCTTTTAAAAAACCAACCTTATTCTAATATCAAATAGGGCAAACAGTTAAAGAACACCATTCATAAAAGAAGACATACAAATAACTGAAAAACAAGGAAAGTAATCAAAAGTAATGAAAGAAATATAATTTTTAAAAACTTTTGATGTTTCCCTATCAAACTAGAGATACCTTCCCATCCCAGCAGTGGATTTTAAAAGCAATTTGACAATAGATGTTTAGATCAAAAGACTTTGAAGTATTGATAATCTTTGACCCAGTAATTGTATTTTTTGCAATCTATCTTAAATAAAGTCCTAAATACAAAACTGAAACCATACACACAGATTGCCCATTGCCGTGGGGAAAACGCACTTCGCCAACAGAGCTGGTGACTACCACCTCAATGCATCCGCGAAAAGCTTCCCTGACCCTGGGTTCCACCAGACAGGAGGCAATAGGAGACACGCAGCTCTACACAGGAAGCATTTTTGCCAATAAAAATTTAACCCGAATCTAATCAAAGCTCTAGAACTAACTTCCAGTTTATACTAATATCAGGAAATAAAGATGAGGTGGCACAATTAGGGAACATACAAATCTAGAACATGGGATGTTCTATAATAATAGGCAACTATACTAAATGTCCATGTCATTAAAAAAAGAGGGGGCACTGGTGTAGACTAAAAAGACATGTTCAATGTGATGCTCAACTATAAAGTGAACTCTGGTTCAAGGAGGTAAGAGCTAGGACGACTATAGTGAAATATAACAAATGTTGGTGAGGACGCGGAGAAACCGGAACCCTCACAAACTGCTGGTGGAAGGTAAAGTGGTACAACTGCTTCGGAAAACAGTCTGGCAATTCCTCAAATGATTACAAACAGAGTTACCACATGACCCAGCAATTCCACTCCTGGGTATAACTCAAGAGAAATAAAAACTTATGTCCACACAAAAACTTGTACATAAATATCCATAGTATCATTATTCAAAATTAACCAAAAAGTGAAAACACCCATAACTGATGAATGGAATAAAATATGCCATACCCGCACAACAGAATATTTTTCAGCCATAACAAGAAATGAAGTACTGATTCATGCTCTCCCATGGACAAACCTTAAAAACGTTATGCTCAGTGAAAGGGAGTCCAGAAGGCCACGTTGTATGATCCCATTTACATAAAATGTCCAGAAAGGGCAAACCCATAGAGACAGACGGCAGATCAGTGGTGGCTGTGACTGGGGGGAGAATGCAGCGGGGAGTGACTGTGAGCGGTATGGGTTTCTTTTTCGGGTGACGAAATATTCTGAAATTACTGGTGATGGTTACACAGCTCTGCATATACTAACACCATGAATTATATACTTTAAAAGGGTGAATTTTATGATATGCGAATTACTAATTTTAAAAGATTATAGATGGATTTTTTTTATTGATCTGAGAGAGAGGAAGGGAGGGAGGGAGGGAGGGAGGAACAGAGAAAGGAACATACATCAACTTGTTCCACTTACTAAGGCGTTCACGGTTGATTCTCGTATGTGCCCTAAAGGGGATCAGAACTGCAACCCTGGCACACGGGGACAATGCTCTAACCAACTGGGTGACCCAGCCAGGGTCTATATGTCAATTTTTTTTTAAAGGAATGGCTTCATGTTTTTACTGGGAAAACAAATGGCCTTTTTCCAATTTTGAAACCAGAAGTTAGAAACGTACAGCCCACAACATAATTACCTGGACAAGAACGACAGTGTCCATAACCTGGGAGTGTCCAAGGTCATCAACGTAAGTCTCCAGGTGCAAGTCTGACAACACCACCACCCGGACCAGAAACACAGTGCTCACAATGGCTATGGTGGCCGCGGACGCGGTCAACGTCAGGAGGTAGACGAGGAAGTACCTGGTGTTCCAGGCCCCAATGCAGTTGTTCACCCAAACACAGTGATGGTCGAAACGATGCACACACCGGTTACACACACCTGCACAGGAGAGAGGCCACAACCCTGAGCCGGTCCTTGGTGAGACAGCGACACCAGGCGCACCTACTGCATTCCTACAAACTGCCCGCTGGCGGCAGGGGCTGGGGAAGTGGCAGCTGCGGTCGCCACGCTTTTAGGGCTGCACTGTCCAGTAACGCAGCCACTAGCCCAGCCACATGTGGGTACGAGCACTTGATATGTGGCCACGAGAGACAACTGAAAGAATGTTCCGTTGACATTGATAAATTTACAGTTGTTTTTCAGATTGTGCAATACTCCTTTTGAGTTCAGCATGAATAATACTGAGATGAAAAAAAGAGTGAATTTACTTAACTTAGGCAGTTTCAAACTAATGCTTTTGCTTTAAAGGCAAATCAATTCTTCTGATAAACCATCATGTCAATGTAGATGCAGATATTACAGAAAATGACACTTTGGTGCTGATTCAGTTACTGAAGAACATTTAAGAATGTCTGGAATGGCTTGGGTAAGTGAACCTGCTCTTCCACTTGTAACTTTTATGGTAACTAAATACAGATCCAGTGTTTCCAATGAAAACTTAGTGTCTGGATGAGAGGTGCTGAAACACGTCTCTGAACATACGTCAGATTCCAAGACTCAGTATAATGAGAATACAATCTATGCCATGAATGCTTTTTAAAATATTGATTACAGGTTAAAATAGTATTTTAGATATGTTGAGTTGAATAAATTATATGATTGAAGTTAATTTCACTGATTTCTTTTTACATTTGTAATGAGGCTACTAGAAAATTTAAAACCTTGTGCGTGGCTCCCACTATACTTTTGCTGGACAGCACCAGCCTGGCACGCTGTGACTCCCCAGGACAGGCTCTGCCGGGACGGGACTCTGCGAGCACAGCCTCCTGCAGAAGCACCTCCTGGGCAGGAGGCTCGGCCACGGGGCCACGGGGCCACAGAAGGGCTGACACCCCCACGCGGAGGGCTGCCCAGTAGGCAAGAACACAAGACCGCACCTCCAGTCACCTGAAAGAGACCGTCATCAGGCCTCTACCAGCAGGGGCTGCCCCATGTCTGGGGGTCAAATGGCCCTGCTTCCCGATGTCTGTGACATTCCCTGGCAGACGATGCCCACATGCCTGCTGTGAGAAGGCAGAGGAGACAGGGCCGCCGGGGCCGCACTTACTGCAGTGCTTGGATCGTGCTGGCTTCCTTAAATCACAAGTAGAGCACCTCACGTTCTTTGGGAACATGACTTCATCAAATTCATAAACTTGAAGAAGTACTAATTCGTTGGCTTTTGTTATGGTACCTGAAAACAGTAAGGACAAATGTCAGTTTCAAGTAATAGAGGATATTCACAAAATCTGTCCTGACACAACACAATGAAAAACTGCTATATTTAACATTTTAATTCATGTTATAATTTTTCATTGCTTTACTGAGATACAATTCAAACAATCAATTTGCCCCCTTAAGCTGTACGAGTCCGCGGTTTTCAGTGCATTCACGGAGTTGGGCCGCCACCGCCAGGACCTTAAAATGCTTTGTCTCTGCAGAAGAAGAAACCCTCCAGCGGCCAGGACCCACCTCTCTCCCCACCCTCACCTCCAGCTGCCACTAATCAATACGTCCTACCCCCTGGGTTTGCCGTTTCCGGATACCGTTATATAAACCGAATCCCACAGTATGTGGCCTTTTGTATCTGGCTTTTCACTAACATAACATTTTCAAGGTTCAGCTGTGTTGTAGCAGGTTTAAGTACTTCATTCTTTATTTGCCGAACAATAGTCCATTGAAGAGGCGTACCACATTCTATTTAACTATTCATCAGTTGATGGACAATTAACACTTCCAGGACAGGAAAGGTTAAAATTACAAGAATGGGGGGAAAAACAAGCAAATATCAATCCAAAAAAGATACTGTGATAATATTAATATTAGACAAAAGAGCCTTGAAAGCAATTACCAGTGATAGAGGCTCATTATACTTTGAAAAAAGGTTTAAGGAAGAGATACTACCAATTCTAAACTTAATGCATCTAATAAGAATTATGTGTATGTGTGTGACTAATAGACATACACACATACACAAACACTAGTTTCAAAATATGTGAGGAAAAACTTACAAAAGGAAATCCGTTAAATCTTCTATCAGAATAAGATAACCCTCTCAACAAAAGTATTAGTATGAATATAAAAGATACAAACATAATTAAAAAACTCGATGTAATGAACTTATATGATTCTCTGTATCCAAGAACATGGGCCATTTACAAAAACTACATGCCCAGGCATAATGCAAATATCAATAAAATTTTCCTAAAAAACAGTATCCTTCAGATCATAAGCTCTCTATGTAACACAATTAAGTGAAAGTACCAAAAAATTAAACTTGCCCTAGCCAGTGTGGCTCAACTGGTTAGAGCATCGTCCTGTAAACTGAAAGGTCATGGGTTCAATTCCCAGTCAGGGCACATGCCTAGGTTGCAGGTTCAGTCCTTGTTCAGGACACATACAGGAGGCAATTGATCGAAGCTTCTTTCCCTCCCTTTCCGTCTCTCTAAAAATCAATAAGCATGTCCTCAGGTGAGAATAAAAAATAAAATAAATAAAAATAGAAAATTAAACTAAAAAATTTACATGGAAAATTTTCAAATGATCTAAATAACTCATGGGTCAAAGAAGGAAAAATAAAATTAGAAAACACTCAAAACTGAAAGATTATGCAAATGCTAACTAACTAGCCAATCTTTTTCAAAGTCCTTAGAAGGACCACTGCGTGTCTGCGGCTCTATCAGTCAGACCGACAGCTGAGCTGGCTCTCTCTGCCAAGAGCCCGCACTTACCAGGGTCGGTCACACAACTCAGAGTGAAAAACACCAGGTTTACCATCAGCAGCAGGTAAGGCAGCAGGAGGTAACATAAGGAGAAGTCCAGGTCTCGACAGTAGCCCACTATTTCCCAGGTATATTCAGCATACACCATTCCTTGCAAGGCGAGGTGCAAGATAATGAAGGTGTAGTTTCTGAAAAGAAACAGGCACATCGCTTGTTCCTGAGGACTCTCCAAGGAGAAGTCATATCGTACTAAGGAAAGTCAACCAAGAGCCAACTACTTCCCTTGGGCTTGAGATGACAGTAAGAATTACATAAGAAACTATGTAAAACATAGTTTCACATACTGTGTGCCAGCATGGGACCTAGCACACAGTAAGCTCTCAGTAAATGTTACCTATTATTATTTTTCTGTCTTGGGAACCGAGATCTTAGTATCAGAATACACTTCCTTTTATGGAAATTCATACCAATATTTTCACGCTCTCTAAATTCTGCTGTTTAAAAGCAGATGTGTCTAAACCCCAGAGGAAAAGGCAGATTATCTATAAGCAAAGGACACCCCATCCTTGGCTGCACCCCTCTGGGCCAGGCTGGACAACACAGGGAGCTTCCCAAAGCCACAGAACAGTAACAATTAACAATCCAAACAGAAAAGAAGATATTTAAACTCAAATGTAAATACCGTGTGTGAAAGAGATGGTGGAGCAACCTTAGCACTGCTCTCTGAAGGCATTCTGGAATTATATAGGAAAATACCTAAAACAAAAGAAAAGAGAAGCATTCGATCTTTTTCATTCTTCCCACTTCCCCCCAGCTCTCGCCATATTAAGCGCTTCATGTTCAGCGGACAATGCTGGTGATATTGTGCTTCGCAAAATGGGCAGAGAAGAGATTTAAGAGGATAAAGAGGATGACTTCCCTCAGCCGGCCTTCCCTTGAAGCCAACTCCTACATTTTCCACCCTGAACTCAAAGGAGGCACCACGGCAGGGTCTCCAAGTCAAGGGAGGTGAGCCGAGCGGATGGATCAGCTAATGCTGCTGCGAGTGCCGCTCTCTTCCCTGCCCTGGGTTCAATCCTCCGTCCCAAGTCCCCCTCTGGATCATTGGCCATCAGCCCAGGCCCCTCCCAAGCCAAGCCCTTCCCAACGACCGCTCGCCCCAGTTTTGCTCACTTTGACCCCTGAGCAGTGTGGGCAGCCCAACGCTCAGCTCTCCGCTCCTGCACCCCCCCGTCTCCCCCCCAGGCCCCTCCAGGCAGACGCCGCTCAGGTGCGCGCCCAGTCACAGGCGGCAAGCCCAGAGAAGCACAGCCAGCCGTAAGAACGCCACCTTTTCTCAAGGCATCAATGCAAGGTTACTGTCAACAATAAGGGGGGGGGAAACACACAGAAAGACTTTGGAATACACCACAATTGCCATAAATGAAAGAACATGTGAACAAATGAATAAAAAAGGCAGCTCTTTTTTGTTCTGCCAGGAATACTGGTGAGCCTTTTGAACTAGTGACATTTAAAATCCGGTGGCCTCCAAGCGTCGCTGTTACCTGTGTGCTTCTCAGGACCAGGCCTTTCAGGTAATGGGTTCTCGAGCAAATGCAAATCATAACGCCACCAATCAGCACTAAAGCCAAGTAGAACAAGAAGAGAACCAGAAAGTCCATCCTAGGGCTACAAGGGAACAGAAAGAATGTGACTACATTGAGGGATTCGTTCCATGGCTCATATTCTCAAGCATCAGCTCCCCAAGTGGTTCCCAAAACAAAGTTCATCAGCCACTAAGCACACTGCCTCTTCATCAGGCCTCCCAGGGAATCCCGGGCTCTTCCGCCTTCAAACGTCCCCAGTTAAACCGGTGTGGTCTGCTTTGTAGTATCTCCTATCTGCAAATTCCACAATACAGTGGGGGAAAGTATGCAAAAAGCATCCACCTTCTCTCCCCAAGAAACAAATCGTTCTTTCAGTTCCTATAATACATACAAATACTCGCACAGATATTCACGCTGAAAGTAGCCAGAAGAATTTGCTGATGATGCAGTTGGAACAAGCATCCCCTCCAGGCAGTCAAGGGCCCAGGAGGAGGCGTCCTGTCTAAGAAGGGATGTGTGCGCAAAGGCCTTGTCTAAGACACTAGAGATGGTGACTTTTGGCCTTAGTAAGTATGATTCTGGCCCAGACTCCCAACTAAGAGAACCAAACTAGCCCTGGCTGGTGTGGCTCAGTGGACTGAGCACCAGCCTGTGAACCGAAAGGTCACTGCTTCGATTCCCAGCCAGGGCACAGGCCTGGGCTATGGCCCAGGTCCCCAGGTGGGGGCGGGCGAGAGGCAACCAATCCATGTATCTCTTGCACATCAATGTTTCGCACCCTCTCTTTATCCCCTTCTTCCCCCTCTCTAAAAATAAATAAATACAATATTTAAAAGAAAAAAAAAAGGTAACCAAACTGGGAACTATTCACGAGGTAAGACACAGGACACAAACAGCAGCATTTCTCACGAGGTGATTCAGGGTCCCCAGCCTACATATTTCTCTTTATCGGATAATTTTCGCAGGCAGCTCCGGCGTTCCTCCTGCCAGCGTTCACAGGGAGCTCCAACGGCATGTCCTCTTGGGCACAGGCTCGCGCCTGGACCAACAGGTGACACCTAAGGCTGCAAGAGGCATGGTTCCGCCCGTCGGCTGACTCTGGCTGCAAAGACAGGCCAATCCAGCGCTCACGTAAGACGACTCGCGTAATAGGAGTCAGGGGAGGGGTACACTGAGGAGAGCTTGGAAGTCGGGGGACGCTCCGAACCCGCGGCGTGAACGGAGTTATAAGACTTCTTGAGAAAAAGTTAACTGGGAAGAAATAAGCTGGGAGCCTTGGACACCCAGCCCTGAGGTGCCCGCGCCGGGGACCTGCCAGAAGGGTCCCCCCGAAGTTACTCTCCGGCCTAGGGTCCCGGCAGGTGGGCCCCGCAAGGAGCTTTCCCCGGGGGCGGCACCTGAGGGGGGCGGGGTGCAGAAGGCTGGAAGGTTGTGTTGGGGTGGACGTGGCTGCAGCCCCACGTACACAGGCGCGAGCGGCGGTCCGACGCACAGACGGGCAGCCCCGGGCCAGTCGGGGTCCCTGAGTGCCCAGTCGAGGACGCCTTACCTCCAAGGGCGACCACCGGCTCCGAGCGCCGCACCGGCGCCTCCGGGCCGCGCCCCCAGACTTCCGTCGGGCTCGTTACGTCACGCGCGACGCTTCCGGCCAGGCCAGCTTCCGGCGGAAGTGCGGGCGCGGGCAGCGGGTGGACAGAGCCGTTCCCGTGCTGCTTTTTTGGCGATGTCCCGGGCCGTGCGACTGGGCGCCTCGGGACTGTGGTAGAACCTGGCGCTGGGAGGTCGGACCTCAGAGCGCGATTGCCCGGACACTTACAGGACGACTGTCCTGGGTCTGGGGCGGGCGAGGACGCCGGTGCTGTGCAGCGGCCGAGCCTCCCAGCAGCCTGGAGCCGAGCGGGGTCCGGCAGCCCTGGGCAGGCACCTTAGGGCTCACACGCTTTGTCTTCGTGCCGGACAGTGTGCTTTGATCTCTGCCCACCGCACCGCCGGGATCTTTGCTCCTGCTGTCTCGGGACAGCTCTGAACATTCTGCCTCTGGGAGCAGTGACAGCTGCTTGACAAACCTGGAGGATAAGAAGGAAAGCTGTTTAATGGTCGTTGAACCTGGGGGGAGAAGGGCTGCTTCCAAACATAGCCCTGAGAGGCCCCCCGTAGGGCGTTGCTTTGCTCCGAAAGCCTCTGAGTCCGCTGAGACCAGTCTATTCTTGTACCTCTGAAAACCTGTCTCACTGAGCCAGGTCTTGCCTCCCTCTGAGGGGAAATGTCTAATCTCCAAACACTGACCTTAAACACTTCTTTTCCTGGCTGGCTTTGCTGCCTGCCGCCAAAGCTTTTTCCTTTTTGAAAAAACTTACCGAGCTGGACACCTGCCGATACATTGTGTGCAAGGCCTTCATGAACTTGTAGAGTCGGAATTGGAGAAAAGTTAGATGTAATGTCACCAGGGAAGACAGTGGTTCTGGGTGGAGCCTCATCGCATCCCCAGGGGGCTGGGTTCGTCAGTGTCCCCAGCTCACTTTTCACCCTGCTGTTTAATTCTGACCTGGAGACTAAGTATTTTGATTTAGTTTTTTTTTCTTATAAATGCCGAATTTTATTTTTATCCACGTTCACTTGTTTCTGGATGATTTCACTCGAGACTAACCAAATCTTGGTTTGATTGCCTATGTTATATTGTGCCGGGTTGACTTCCTTTAATTTTTAAAAATTTATGAAAGTAACAGTACTATGTTCTTATAAAACAGACTTGGGAGGCCATCAGCATGGACAGGCACTGTGTGCAGGTACCCCCACAGTGGACTGGGGAGGCCTCCCCAGCACCCCTACGCTGCCTGCTGCACCGCTGAAACAGACCCCAGTGGCTTTCATGGGAAAGAAGTTCATTCCTTTCACACGCAGTAGTCCAGAGTAGGTGGGAAGTCCAGGGGTGGCAGGCAGTTCTGCTCCAGGATGTCCACGTGATCACACAGCACCCAGATTCTTCCCATCTTGTGGCTCCACCACTAGGCAGAGCTTCCCAAACTTTCTCTGTTCACAGCACCCTTAGGTGACTTAGACATTTTTTCGCAGAGCTCCTATGCCAAAAGAAATATCTAACAATCCCATCTATTAAATAACTAGCTCCAAACAAGTTCCTAAGTATCCATGTCCTAGCAATGTAGTGTCCCTGGAACACTGCACAATTGATCAAACTTTAAAATCGGGTTGGAAACCACCATTCTCATTTCCCATCTCTATAGATGTTCTAGAGGCACTTGCTTTCTCAGTCTGAGCTGGCATCTCATGTTTGGCACTGATTTTGCTTTGTTCCTTCAAAATTTAAGCAATCCCACAGCACCCTTAGAAGTTCGCTGTGGCACCCCAGGGCCCTTCGTGGAGAGTTTGGTGCCACGAGACAAGGGTGTTAGACGATTTTTTTAATTTTGTTTCTTTTATTTACTTTCTCCTAAGTGCTTTTCCTCTATCTAAATAGTTTTCATTATTATTAAGGGATACAATATAATAAACTTAATACCTTATTGTTGGACATTTGTATTATTTCCTATCTTTTAATATTATAGGTGGTTTTGCAAGTAACAAATTCATCGCTTTTATTTTTTTCAGTTGAAATATTTTCTCAGGCTGAATCTCTCAGTGGTCAATCAGTTCCTGAAACTCTTGTGCCTCTGGCATTGTAATGCTTTCCCTCTGTTCTTCAAAACCTCCAGGAATGAACCTTGACACTTGTATTTCACAAATAGCACAGGCAAAAACACACTACTAAGTCTAAAACCAAACATTTAACTCAAGCTTGCTGGGCGGGATTGCATCCCCTGTAAAATGTAGCAAAGAATCCCTCTTTGGAGCATTCCTAAACGCTCCTGTAGGCCCCTGAAACTGGACCCGTGGGTATCAGTTTTTCACCTGTTCCAAGATCGGTTGGCAGGATTAACCACCTTTTATACCACGATGTCTTGTCCCCAAGGGGACTAAAGCAATACTTCGGAAATGGGACATAGGACTTCATACCTCCCCTTGTAACAGTCAAATGGCACATGGTGCTTGTTTGAAATCAGCGATTTGTTGGCTGATAGCAATTTTGCAATGGAGAAAACAAGAAAGAAATTTAAAGCAACACAACAAAAGTATTTGTGTTGGAGGGCAAGGATTGTGTCTTTGTTTACCGTTGTATCAGTAGCAACTATTTTAACGACCAGCTGTAGTAGATGCCCAATAAAAATGTGTTAAATGAATGAAAGAAAAAGGAAGACTTATACCCAAAGAAAAGCTATATCCTGGATATCACTAAAACAAAAACTCCTCTGGCCAGTAGGCAGGGCCACAGGCTGGAGCATAATGTAGGTGTGGCCACCTTTCGCTTCCAAATTTTGAATTGGCCTTTGCTACCTTAATTGTTGTCCCTTCAAGCAACTGTGTTTCGCTACCAGGTCAAACGGGGGTTATGAGGGCAGAATCTCCACGGTTGGATCACTCCTCAACTAGCGCTGACTCGGCGCGCTGCTCAGCTCTGCTCGCCCCAAATGCTCTTCTGCTCTGGTCCCCAGTACGCAGTTCACCATCAGCTGTGGTCTCTCTCAAATGAGCCTATAAATATACTGTGCGTAAAAATTACCTGTTGTATATCTGAAATTCAAATCTAACTTGGCATCTTGTATTTTTATTTGCTAAATCTGGAGATCCTATGTCCAGCCACTATCTTAATGCCTCTCATCAGAGATTCTAGTTTTCCGTCCTAACTGGGACCAAGAGTTAGTCTTGCAGTTGGAACGTGGTCATCCCTCGGCCAGCAGCGCTGCGCAAAAGGAGCATCCAGCCCTGGACATTGAATCCGGGCTCAGCTGTCTCAGAAGGGTGCCTGAGGCATCTTCAGAAAGGAGGGGCCACCTGACAGCCTGGAGGAAAGGCAGACGACAAGAGTGCAGGCTGACCGGTGGGGGACGGTCCACCCTCCACGTAAAGTATACAGTTTCTGCTCTGCTGGCTGTATTTGTACGCCACACAGAAAGAGGCTAGAGAAAGACAAGGGATGATATTGTGAGTTGTGTCTCAGAGCGAGGGACACAAAACGAATGGCACTACTTGGCCAGTGTCCCAGAATCATGACTTTATTATTAACACTCCCGACACCAAGCAATCAGAACCGACACTGAACTCTGTGAAGAGCAGACATGAATGTAATTCCAGGAAGAAACTCGGAATGAAGATTCTAGATGGGAAGACATGTAGGGGTTAACAGTATGAGCTCGGGACTCGGGGGGGTTCCGGTCCAGGATCTGTCACATCTGGCTGTATGGCTTCAGCCCAGTTACTTGACCTCTCTGAGTCTTGGTTTCCTCGTCTGTAAAGTAAGGATGAAAGAATAGACCTCAAACGGTGTTGTGAGGATTGAATGAGATAATGCACATAAACCACATTCAATCAGTATTGGCCGCTGATATCACAGATGCAATTCTCAAAGTTAACTAAGTGATCAATACAGGGGAAGGAAGTGGGAAGTATTTCTGGTACAAGGGGTTTGGGGTATCAGGGTTCTCTATATAGCAAGTAATAGTAAGTCCAGCTCAAACTGGATTAAACAACAAAGGAGATTCCTTGGCTTCTACCACTGGGATGTCCAAAGATGGTGCCAGCTTCAGGAATGATTTGAATCAGTGGCTCAATGGCATCGCCAAGCATGGATGCTCTTTTTGTCCCTCACTCCGCCACCCCAGTATCCCCAGACCAGCTTTCCTCCTGGTGATGGGGTGGCTGCCAGCCACAGCAGGCACCTCATGCTCCCACATTCCCTTAGAATGAGGAGACCGGGGAGGTTGACTCTGGCTTTCCAAGTAGGAGGGCTGAGATTGACCCCGCCTGGCTTGAGACATAGGTTCACCCCGAACCAATCAGCCATGGGGCCGGGAAAACTGGATGGGCCATCTGGTGAGTTCAACGAGCCCCCTCCCCAACTGAAGCTGCGAAGGGGATCAATTTCTCCGAAATCACAGAAGCCACTCAGGGAGAAGCAGATTCTAGATGAGACCCGTGCAATACTAGAGAGGAGCATGGATATCTGGTGGGCAATAAGTTGTAATATCTGGAGAAATATGTCAAAAATAT